ATACTCTGCACCGCCCGCTCATACCCTGCACCGCCCGCTCATACGCTGCACCGCACGCTCATACGCTGCGCTGCACCGCCCGCTCATACGCTGCACCGCCCGCTCATACGCTGCACCGCCCGCTCATACGCTGCACCGACCGCTCATACGCTGCACCGCCCGCTCATACGCTGCACCGCCCGCTCATACGCTGCACCGCCCGCTCATACGCTGCACCGCCCGCTCATACGCTGCACCGCCCACTCATACGCTGCACCGCCCGCTCATACGCTGCACCGCCCGCTCATACGCTGCACCGCACGCTCATACGCTGCACCGCCCGCTCATACGCTGCACCGCCCGCTCATACGCTGCACCGCCCGCTCATACGCTGCACCGCCCGCTCATACGCTGCACCGCACGCTCATACGCTGCACCGCCCGCTCATCCGCTGCACCGCCCGCTCATCCGCTGCACCGCACGCTCATACGCTGCACCGCGTGCTCATACGCTGCACCGCACGCTCATACGCTGCACCGCACGCTCATCTGCTGCACCACCCGCTCATACGCTGCACCGCCCGCTCATACGCTGCACCGCACGCTCATACGCTGCACCGCACGCTCATACGCTGCACCGCCCGCTCATACGCTGCACCGCACGCTCATACGCTGCACCGCCCGCTCATACGCTGCACCGCACGCTCATACGCTGCACCGCCCGCTCATACTCTGCACCGCCCGCTCATACGCTGCACCGCCCGCTCATACGCTGCACCGCCCGCTCATACTCTGCACCGCACGCTCATACGCTGCACCGCCCGCTCATCCGCTGCACCGCACGCTCATACGCTGCACCGCCCGCTCATACGCTGCACCGCACGCTCATGCGCTGCACCGCACGCTCATACGCTGCACCGCCCGCTCATACGCTGCACCGCACGCTCATACGCTGCACCGCCCGCTCATACTCTGCACCCCCCGCTCATACCCTGCACCGCACGCTCATACGCTGCACCGCCCGCTCATAAGCTGCACCGCACGCTCATAGGCTGCACCGCACGCTCATACGCTGCACCGCCCGCTCATACGCTGCACCGCCCGCTCATACGCTGCATCGCCCGCTCATACGCTGCACCGCCCGCTCATACGCTGCACCGCCCGCTCATACTCTGCACCGCACGCTCATCCGCTGCACCGCCCGCTCATCCGCTGCACCGCCCGCTCATACGCTGCACCGCCCGCTCATACGCTGCACCGCACGCTCATACGCTGCACCGCACGCTCATACGCTGCACCGCACGCTCATACGCTGCACCGCCCGCTCATACGCTGCACCGCCCGCTCATACGCTGCACCGCACGCTCATACGCTGCACCGCCCGCTCATCCGCTGCACCGCACGCTCATACGCTGCACCCCCCGCTCATACACTGCACCGCACGCTCATACGCTGCACCGCCCGCTCATACGCTGCACCGCACGCTCATACGCTGCACCGCCCGCTCATACTCTGCACCGCCCGCTCATACGCTGCACCGCCCGCTCATACGCTGCACCGCCCGCTCATACTCTGCACCGCACGCTCATACGCTGCACCGCCCGCTCATCCGCTGCACCGCACGCTCATACGCTGCACCGCGTGCTCATACGCTGCACCGCACGCTCATGCGCTGCACCGCCCGCTCATACGCTGCACCGCCCGCTCATACGCTGCACCGCACGCTCATACGCTGCACCGCCCGCTCATACTCTGCACCCCCCGCTCATACACTGCACCGCCCGCTCATACCCTGCACCGCACGCTCATACGCTGCACCGCCCGCTCATACGCTGCACCGCACGCTCATACGCTGCACCGCACGCTCATACGCTGCACCGCCCGCTCATACGCTGCACCGCCCGCTCATACGCTGCACCGCCCGCTCATACGCTGCACCGCCCGCTCATACGCTGCACCGCACGCTCATACGCTGCACCGCCCGCTCATACCCTGCACCACCCGCTCATACGCTGCACCGCACTCTCATACGCTACGCTGCACCGCCCGCTCATACGCTGCACCGCCCGCTCATACGCTGCACCGCCCGCTCATACGCTGCACCGCCCGCTCATACGCTGCACCGCCCGCTCATACGCTGCACCGCACGCTCATACGCTGCACCGCCCGCTCATACGCTGCACCGCCCGCTCATACGCTGCACCGCACGCTCATACGCTGCACCGCCCGCTCATACGCTGCACCGCACGCTCATACGCTGCACCGCCCGCTCATACGCTGCACCGCCCGCTCATACGCTGCACCGCCCGCTCATACGCTGCACCGCCCGCTCATACGCTGCACAGCACCCTCATACGCTGCACCGCACGCTCATACACTGCACCGCACGCGCATACGCTGCACCGCCCGCTCATACTCTGCACCGCCCGCTCATACCCTGCACCGCCCGCTCATACGCTGCACCGCACGCTCATACGCTGCGCTGCACCGCCCGCTCATACGCTGCACCGCCCGCTCATACGCTGCACCGCCCGCTCATATGCTGCACCGCCCGCTCATATGCTGCACCGCCCGCTCATAAGCTGCACCGCCCGCTCATACGCTGCACCGCCCGCTCATACGCTGCACCGCACTGCCCGCTCATACGCTGCACCGCACTGCCCGCTCATACGCTGCACCGCCCGCTCATACGCTGCACCGCCCGCTCATACGCTGCACCGCCCGCTCATACGCTGCACCGCCCGCTCATACGCTGCACCGCCCGCTCATACGCTGCACCGCCCGCTCATACGCTGCACCGCCCGCTCATACGCTGCACCGCCCGCTCATACGCTGCACCGCCCGCTCATCCGCTGCACCCCCCGCTCATACGCTGCACCGCACGCTCATACGCTGCACCGCCCGCTCATACGCTGCACCGCACGCTCATACGCTGCACCCCCCGCTCATACGCTGCACCGCACGCTCATACGCTGCACCGCCCGCTCATACGCTGCACCGCACGCTCATACGCTGCACCGCCCGCTCATACTCTGCACCGCCCGCTCATACGCTGATCCGCCCGCTCATACGCTGCACCGCACGCTCATACGCTGCACCGCCCGCTCATACTCTGCACCCCCCGCTCATACACTGCACCGCCCGCTCATACCCTGCACCGCACGCTCATACGCTGCACCGCCCGCTCATACGCTGCACCGCACGCTCATACGCTGCACCGCACGCTCATACGCTGCACCGCCCGCTCATACGCTGCACCGCCCGCTCATACGCTGCACCGCCCGCTCATACGCTGCACCGCCCGCTCATACGCTGCACCGCACGCTCATACGCTGCACCGCCCGCTCATACCCTGCACCACCCGCTCATACGCTGCACCGCACTCTCATACGCTACGCTGCACCGCCCGCTCATACGCTGCACCGCCCGCTCATACGCTGCACCGCCCGCTCATACGCTGCACCGCCCGCTCATACGCTGCACCGCCCGCTCATACGCTGCACCGCCCGCTCATACGCTGCACCGCCCGCTCATACGCTGCACCGCCCGCTCATACGCTGCACCGCCCGCTCATACGCTGCACCGCACGCTCATACGCTGCACCGCCCGCTCATACGCTGCACCGCCCGCTCATACGCTGCACCGCCCGCTCATACGCTGCACCGCACGCTCATACGCTGCACCGCACGCTCATACGCTGCACCGCACGCTCATACGCTGCACCGCACGCTCATACGCTGCACCGCGTGCTCATACGCTGCACCGCACGCTCATACGCTGCACCGCCCGCTCATATGCTGCACCGCCCGCTCATATGCTGCACCGCCCGCTCATAAGCTGCACCGCCCGCTCATACGCTGCACCGCCCGCTCATACGCTGCACCGCACTGCCCGCTCATACGCTGCACCGCACTGCCCGCTCATACGCTGCACCGCCCGCTCATACGCTGCACCGCCCGCTCATACGCTGCACCGCCCGCTCATACGCTGCACCGCCCGCTCATACGCTGCACCGCCCGCTCATACGCTGCACCGCCCGCTCATACGCTGCACCGCCCGCTCATAGGCTGCACCGCACGCTCATACGCTGCACCGCCCGCTCATACGCTGCACCGCACACTCATACGCTGCACCGCCCGCTCATACGCTGCACCGCACGCTCATACGCTGCACCGCCCGCTCATACTCTGCACCGACCGCTCATACGCTGCACCGCCCGCTCATAAGCTGCACCGCACGCTCATACGCTGCACCGCCCGCTCATACGCTGCACCGCCCGCTCATTGCCGAGTGAGTAGCGCGGTCGAGGGCCTTAGTGAAAATGTCGGCGGGGTTGGAGGATGAGTCGATCTTGCGCACGGTGATGTGGCCATCCTGGACAAGGTTGCGGACGAAGTAGTGTCGGAGCTCGATATGCTTGGAGCGACCATGGAAGACAGCTTCTTTGGTGAGGTGGATGGTGCTAGCGTTGTCACACCAGAGGGTGGGACATGGTTGTGGTGAGCCAAGGTCTGTGAGGAGATAGCTGAGCCAGCGTGCTTCCTGTGCCGCCATCGTGACCGCGTATAGTTCGGCTTCGCAGGAGGAGAGGGCGATGGAGGAGGAGCGGGTGGAGCGCCAGCTGATGAGGCCGCTCCCAAGGGAGAAACCATATCCCTGTGAGCTGCGACGGTCAGGTTGTGAATCTGCCCAGGACGAGTCGCTGAAGCCAGTGAGAACCGGCGGGTCCGCTCCACCAAGGGTGAGAGAGTAATTCTTCGTATGCTGAAGGTAGCGTAGGACACGCCGGGCCGCCGTCATGTGTTCCTCCGTGTGCCTGCCGACACCAACGAACCGCGCCAGAACACTGACTGGGTAGGCAAGGTCGGGGCGGGTGCAGACCATGGCATACATCAGGGCCCCGACAAGCTCTGCATAGGGGTTCGAGGAGTCGGTGGGGGTGGCAGGGGGCGAGAGCTGATGCCCAACTGCAAGCGGAGTGGCGATGGGCTTGGCTTTGGACATTCCAAACCTCTCAAGGACCTTCTCAATGTAGAAGGACTGAGAGAGGGAGATAGTCTTAGCCTTGAGATCGCGGGTGATCTCCATGCCAAGGTAGTTGCGGACCTCCCCCAGGTCTTTGCAGGCGAGTCGACGCTGTAGTTCGTCCTTGACCTCCTGCATCTCAGCATCTGTGTCGGCAACTAGTAGCATGTCGTCGACGTAAACAAGAATGTAGAAAGGGGACGGAGCCGTCCGAAGGAAGAGGCTGGAGGCAGCTCGGGAGGGGCGAAAACCAAGCTCGCGAAGGGTGGAAGAGAGCTTGGCATGCCACTCCCGGGGTGCCTGCTTGAGGCCGTAGACGGGCCGCAGCAGCTTCCAAACGGTGGACGGGTCATGTGGAGCGTGAAAGCCTTTGGGGCGTTCCATGAAGATGAGTTCGTGTAGGTCGCCTTGGAGGAAGGCGGTAGTGACATCCATGGAGTGCAGCAGCATGCCGCGTCTGCCGACGAAGTCGAGGAACACCCGAACGACCGGTGGGGTAGCAGTGGGTGAGTATGTTTCGAAGAAGTCAAAGCCGTGCTTCTGCGTGAAGCCCTTCGCCACATAGCGAGCTTTGTAGACAGGGTCTTCGCCAGGGAGAAGCTTGACACGGAAGAGCCATTTGCCCTTGACGACATTGGTCTTGGCAGGGCGAGGGACGTCGATGAAGGAGCGGTTGTGGATGAAGGCGTTGCTCTCCTTGACCATGGCTTCAATCCAGAGCGGTGCGTCGAGGCAGGCAATAGCCTCCTCATACGTGGTGGGTTCGAAGATGGTGGGGGTGCCCGAGAAAAGAAGAACTGGAGTGCCCGCCATGGTGCGGACGATGGGGGCGATGGAGGGCGCGAGGAGGTGGAGGAAGAGGAGTTCGTCGTGGGTGTCTTCATAGAGGAGAGGAGAGAGAGGAGGAGGTAGAGGGGGTGGTGAAGATGCAAGACAGCTGCGCTGGAGGTCGAATCTGAGACATGGAAGTGCTGCTGCTCGGCTGCGTGGTGGTGCAGTCAGGAGCGCGGAGCGGTTGCGCAGTGGATCTGGAGTGAGGGGGCTGAAGCGGGGGGGGAGGGGAGTACCGGTGAGGGCGAGGAGGGAGGGGGGGGAAGTCTGTGGGGAACCAAGGATGGGGTCCAGGGAGCGGGTGTGGGGATAGCGGGGAAGGACAAGGGTAGGGGAGGGGCGCCGGGGAAGGGGGGGGGGAGGTGGAGGGGGGGGCGGATTAGAGGAGGGGAGGGGGGAGGGAGGGGAAGGGGGCGGGGGAGGTGGAGTAGGGGGAGGAGGAGGAGGAAGGTGAGTTGCAGCGGAAGGTGAGGTAGTGGAGTGGGAGGGGGAGGGGGGGGTGGGTTAAGGATGTCGCCGGAGGAGCTGGAGGAGAGGGGAGCGGGGGGGAGGGGTGGAGGAGGGGGGGGAGGGGTCATGGCAGGGGACGGGAGGAGGGGCAGTGTGTCAGTCCAGAGAAGGGGCCGGGGAAATGGGGGAAGGGGGTTAGGGGCGGAGGAAGAGGTGTAGTACGGGGTGGCCTCGTCAAAGACCACGTCCCGACTACGGATGAGGCGGCCTGAGGGGGGGTGGAGGAAAAGGTAGTCAGGTGAGGTGGTGTTGTGTCCAAGGTAGACACAGGGGAGAGTGCGAGACGCAAGCTTTCCACGTGCGCGTGGGCGGTCGGCAGGGTGTATGAGGACATACGCCTTGCAACCCCACACGCGCAGAGGGGATATGTCAGGCTTGCTGGAGGTCCATAGTTCGGTGGGGGTGGAGGTGGGACGAGAGGGGTGGGGGTAGAGGTTAGCGTGAAGGATGGCATAGCCCCAAAGAGAAGGTGGGCAGGAGGCGTGAACGAGGAGGCACCGAGCAGTTTTGGTGATCTCCCGAACGCGGCTCTCCGCCACACCATTCTGCTGAGGGGAGTGAGGGAGAGTGTAGGTGTGGAGGATGCCGTGAGAGGTGCAGTAGGAGGACAGGGTGCGGTTGAGGAACTCACCGCCTCCATCGGAATGGAAGCGGCGAACAGGGCGACCGAAGTGGTTGCGTGCTTGTTCAGCCCAGGCAGTGATGGCAGCCGGGGCCTCCGCCTTCGTACAAAGGAGGGTGACGGAGGAGTATCGACTGTGATCATCCACCAGGATGAGGAGGTAGCGATGTCCTTGCCTGGTGGGGGAAGGGTTGGGGCCCCAAAGGTCCATGTGGACGAGGTCAAGGGGTTGGAGGGAAAAGGAGGGGTTACTCGTATGTGGTTGTTGCTTTAGCTTGCTTTCAACACAAACTGAGCAAGGAGGGGAGGGGGAAGGAGGGAGGGGGGGAAGGGTAAGGGGGAGGCCGTCAAGGAGTTTAGTGAGGATGGATCGGCGAAGGGTGGCAAGGTTGGGATGGCCGAGGCGATGGTGGAGGAGAATGGTGGGGTGTGTGAGATCACGACAGTGACAGGGGGAGGGTGGGTTAGATGCGGGGGGAGGGGAAGGGGCGGGGGGGAGGGGGAGGGGGAGAGGGAGGGGGAGGGGGAGGGGGAGGGGGAGGGGGAGGGGGAGGGGGGAGTTCGAGAGGAGGGGAAGGGGCGGGGGGATGGGGTGTGGAGAGTTGGTGAAGGGTGGGACGGGGGATGCGGAAGGTGTACATGTGGGTGGAGGGGCACCGATGGACACGGCAGAGGAAGCGACCGGAGGAGGTGTGAAATAAGTCGCAATATGCTTTGTGACCAGGGAATATGGCGGTGACACCTGAGTCGGAGAGGGCACCAAGGGATACCAAGTTGTTCCGAAGGGAGGGGATATAGAGACCTGTGACAGTACCTGAGGGAAAGAGGGGACAGGGGAGTGTGGAGGTGTAACGGCTTTGTATCGCAAAGCTGGAGTCAGCCCCAAGTATTGTGGAGGGGGTGGAGAGGGGGAGGAGCGTTCCTGCGTCACGAAGGACCGTGTGCGTGGCTCCGCTATCAAGGATGAACTCAAGGGGCTTTGAGGAGGAGGGGGACTCGGAGTACTGGAATGAGGACTCATTAATAGCATTGGCATACATAGGATCATTGCAAGAGCTAGCAGTGGTGACATGACCTATGAAACCCGTGGAAGGAAACGGTGTGAAGCCGGGGGGGTGAGAGGGGGAGGTGGGTAGTTCAGCAGGTGCAGCAGTTGCAGCAGTTGCAGCTGTCCCATGGCCATACAGAGATGGGGGGTAGGGAGGGTAGGGCCAGCCAGCGTAAGGAGGAGGATAAGGGGAGAGAGGAGGATAGGGGGAGGGAGGGGTTTGAGGTGCGAGGGTGGGTGTGGTGAGGGTGGGAGGCGTTGGGGTGGTGGTGGGTGTGGGGAGGAGGTGTTGGACTTGCTGGAGGACGTGAGGGGAGAGGTGTTGGGCGAGGACATTATGGAGGTTGGGGGGAGATGGTGCATAGGCGGGGAGGGTGCGAATGTCATGAGGGGTGGGGCGAGGGGTGATGGTGCTCCAGCGTGGAGGAGGGCCCGTGTTGCCGCGTGCAAACCATTCGTCGGTGAGAGCTTTGAAGCACGTATCAGTGGGATGGGTGGTCTGGTTGCAGGTCTGACCTTTGTTAGGGCTTTGGCGAATGACATACTGGCACGGAGGGAGCCCACCCGTGGTTGAAGTGGTTGCCCCACGCCCGCCACGTTCCCCAGTGCGCCCTCCTCGTCCACCTCCGCGACCGCCTCCTCTTCCACCACCGCCCGAGCCACGTCCTGGTCCGCCCCCGCTGCTTCCGCCGGTGTTTGTTCCTTTGCGCGCATGAACGGCATTGATGGAGGCAGATTCACGCAGAAGGTCAGCCTCACTGTCAAGGAGCCAGTCGATGGTAACAGCCACAGGAGGAGGACGGATGTGCTGGGAGGTGAAATTGATGCGGTAAGTGTCGTAGGTGGGTGGGAGGCAGTCAAGGATGCGTGCTGTGAGGAGGGTGTCGGAGATCAAGATGCCACGATCATTGAGACGTTGTGCAGTGTCCGTGAGGCGCCGAGCGAAGGAAGCAGCGTTGAGGGAGGAGTCCAGTGTGATGTCTTGGAAGGTGCGAAAGAGGGAGAGGAGGGAACGTAAGTCCTCGCGATCATATTGGGAGGAGAGAGACTTCCAGAGGGAGGGGGAGGATGGGGGGCGAAGGTCACGCTTGAGAGAGGAGGGAACGCATGAGAAGATGATAGTAAGTGCACGGCGGTCAGCAATGCGCCATGCAGCTGTATCGGAGTGGTGCTTACGGAGCTTAGCAGAGTACTCTTCGGAGGCGGCTTTGAATTCTGCAAGTTTTGCAGTGGCAGCTTCGTGATCGGCGATGGCAGCTGCGCGTGCTCTGCTTTTGATGACATAGTCGTCCCGCTCCTTGTTGTATTTGTTGAGCGTGCGAGCCCACCTGTCCGGATCATCCTCCCAAGCCCCTAGGATAGGGGCTTGGGGGGCAGGTTCGGTCGGGAGTGGTGGGGCGTCGGGGGGGGAGGAGCCTGGGAGTGGGGGCGGAGTGGGGGGGAGGCCACTAGGTGTTTCGAGGACAACGTCTAGGAGGCAGTAATCTCCCACTCGAACGGAGCCCAGGTACGTGAAGAGGCTCTCCTCAAACGACACCCAATTGACGGCGGTGGTGCCGTTGAGGAGCTCGAGCTTGTCGATGGAGGCAAGCTCAAGCGAGGTTGATTCGTCGGCCATGAGAGGAGGAGGAGGGAGGGAGGGGAGGTGGACGACACCGTCTTGAGGGACAGAGCAGTCCGGCTGCTCCACGGGCGGTAGCAGCAAACCCTAATTCAGGGTCCGTCGCGGCTGGTGGGCGTCTCCGCGGCGTCCGCGGCATCCGCAGCTGGTGGGCGTCTCCGCGGCGTCCGCGGCTGACGGCCGCGTTCGTCGCGTCCGCGGCTGACGGCCGCGTTCGTCGCGTCCGCGGCTGACGGCCCCGTTCGTCGCGTCCCCGGCTGACGACCGCGTTCGTCGCGTCCGCGGCTGACGGCCGCGTTCGTGGCGTCCGCGGCTGACGGCCGCGTTCGTCGCGTCCGCGGCTGACGGCCGCGTTCGTCGCGTCCCCGGCTGACGGGCGCGTTCGTCGCGTCCGCGGCTGACGGTCGCGTTCGTCGCGTCCGCGGCTGACGGTCGCGTTCGTCGCGTCCGCGGCTGACGGTCGCGTTCGTCGCGTCCGCGGCTGATGGGCGCGTTCGTCGCGTCCGCGGCTGACGGTCGCGTTCGTCGCGGCGGGCGGACGTGGTGAGGAGAGGGGCGCCGAGATGGCGCGAGGGGCACGGCAGAGTCGGCGGGAGGTGCGCTGAGCGGCGCGAGGGGCACGGCTGAGCCGGCGGGAGGTGCGCTAAGTGGCGCAAGGGGCACGGCAGAGCCTGCGGGAGGTGCGCTGAGCGGCGCGAGGGGCACGGCTGAGCCGGCGGGAGGTGCGCTAAGTGGCGCAAGGGGCACGGCAGAGCCGGCGGGAGGTAGAGTATGGTCCTAGGATCTTGAGTGGCGTTAGCCGTAAGAGCTCTGATAACATGTGAGAATTGAACCGATGAGTTGATTAGGAATGATGAGGGCTTACATAGTTGGAGCTAAGGAAAGGGGGGTGGTTGGTACCTAGCCAACATTATTGGCCCCCACCAATAAGTTGGGTTGGAGAATTATTGGGGGGTCCCAATAATGTTGGTCAAAGTGGGCCAACATTATTGGGGGGGCCAATAATCCTCCAACCCAACCTTGGGGTCCAATAATTGGGCCAAGGTTGGGTTCCAACCCCCACCTAGGGTTAACCCTAGTTGTGCACCCAAACATTGTTTGGGTGCCTATCTCTATCCAAGGGTTTATAGGATCAATGCAGGATACAGAAGAGTAGTATAATCTAACACTCATAAGCTGCACCGCACGCTCATACGCTGCACCGCACGCTCATACGCTGCACCGCCCGCTCATACGCTGCACCGCACACTCATACGCTGCACCGCCCGCTCATACGCTGCACCGCCCGCTCATACGCTGCACCGCACGCTCATACGCTGCACCGCCCGCTCATACGCTGCACCGCCCGCTCATACGCTGCACCGCCCGCTCATACGCTGCACCGCCCGCTCATACGCTGCACCGCACGCTCATACGCTGCACCGCCCGCTCATACGCTGCACCGCCCGCTCATACGCTGCACCGCACGCTCATACGCTGCACCGCCCGCTCATACGCTGCACCGCCCGCTCATACGCTGCACCGCCCGCTCATACGCTGCACCGCACGCTCATACGCTGCACCGCCCGCTCATACTCTGCACCGCCCGCTCATACGCTGCACCGCCCGCTCATACGCTGCACCGCCCGCTCATACGCTGCACCGCACGCTCATACGCTGCACCGCCCGCTCATCCGCTGCACCGCACGCTCATACGCTGCACCGCGTGCTCATACGCTGCACCGCCCGCTCATGCGCTGCACCGCCCGCTCATACTCTGCACCGCCCGCTCATACGCTGCACCGCACGCTCATACGCTGCACCACCCGCTCATACGCTGCACCGCCCGCTCATACTCTGCACCCCCCGCTCATACACTGCACCGCCCGCTCATACCCTGCACCGCACGCTCATACGCTGCACCGCCCGCTCATACGCTGCACCGCACGCTCATACACTGCACCGCACGCTCATACGCTGCACCGCCCGCTCATACGCTGCACCGCCCGCTCATACGCTGCACCGCCCGCTCATACGCTGCACCGCACGCTCATACACTGCACCGCCCGCTCATACACTGCACCGCCCGCTCATACGCTGCACCGCACGCTCATACGCTACGCTGCACCGCCCGCTCATACGCTGCACCGCCCGCTCATACGCTGCACCGCCCGCTCATACGCTGCACCGCCCGCTCATACGCTGCACCGCACACTCATACGCTGCACCGCACGCTCATACGCTGCACCGCACGCTCATACGCTGCACCGCCCGCTCATACGCTGCACCGCCCGCTCATACTCTGCACCGCCCGCTCATACACTGCACCGCCCGCTCATACGCTGCACCGCACGCTCATACGCTGCACCGCACGCTCATACGCTGCACCGCACGCTCATACGCTGCACCGCACGCTCATACGCTGCACCGCCCGCTCATACGCTGCACCGCCCGCTCATACGCTGCACCGCCCGCTCATACGCTGCACCGCCCGCTCATACGCTGCACCGCCCGCTCATACGCTGCACCGCACGCTCATACGCTGCACCGCCCGCTCATACGCTGCACCGCCCGCTCATACGCTACACCGCCCGCTCATACGCTGCACCGCACGCTCATACGCTGCACCGCCCACTCATACGCTGCACCGCCCACTCATACGCTGCACCGCACGCTCATACGCTGCACCGCCCGCTCATACTCTGCACCGACCGCTCATACTCTGCACCGACCGCTCATACGCTGCACCGCACGCTCATACGCTGCACCGCACGCTCATACGCTGCACCGCCCGCTCATAAGCTGCACCGCACGCTCATACGCTGCACCGCCCGCTCATACGCTGCACCGCCCGCTCATACGCTGCACCGCCCGCTCATACGCTGCACCGCACGCTCATACGCTGCACCGCCCGCTCATACGCTGCACCGCACACTCATACGCTGCACCGCACGCTCATACGCTGCACCGCCCGCTCATACTCTGCACCGCCCGCTCATACACTGCACCGCCCGCTCATACACTGCACCGCCCGCTCATAAGCTGCACCGCACGCTCATACGCTGCACCGCCCGCTCATACGCTGCACCGCCCGCTCATACGCTGCACCGCACGCTCATACGCTGCACCGCACGCTCATACGCTGCACCGCCCGCTCATACGCTGCACCGCACACTCATACGCTGCACCGCACGCTCATACGCTGCACCGCCCGCTCATACTCTGCACCGCCCGCTCATACACTGCACCACCCGCTCGTACACTGCACCGCCCGCTCATACCCTGCACCGCACGCTCATACGCTGCACCGCCCGCTCATACGCTGCACCGCCCGCTCATACGCTGCACCGCACGCTCATACGCTGCACCGCCCGCTCATACGCTGCACCGCCCGCTCATACGCTGCACCGCCCGTTCATACGCTGCACCGCCCGCTCATACGCTGCACCGCCCGCTCATACGCTGCACCGCCCGCTCATACGCTGCACCGCCCGCTCATACGCTGCACCGCACGCTCATACGCTGCACCGCACGCTCATACGCTGCACCGCACGCTCATACGCTGCACCGCACACTCATACGCTGCACCGCACACTCATACGCTGCACCGCCCGCTCATACGCTGCACCGCCCGCTCATACGCTGCACCACCCGCTCATACGCTGCACCGCCCGTTCATACGCTGCACCGCCCGCTCATACGCTGCACCGCCCGCTCATACGCTGCACCGCCCGCTCATACGCTGCACCGCCCGCTCATACGCTGCACCGCCCGCTCATACGCTGCACCGCACGCTCATACGCTGCACCGCACGCTCATACGCTGCACCGCCCGCTCATACGCTGCACCGCACGCTCATACGCTGCACCGCACGCTCATACGCTGCACCGCACGCTCATACGCTGCACCGCCCGCTCATACTCTGCACCGCCCGCTCATACACTGCACCACCCGCTCATACACTGCACCGCCCGCTCATACCCTGCACCGCACGCTCATACGCTGCACCGCCCGCTCATACGCTGCACTGCACGCTCATACGCTGCACCGCACGCTCATACGCTGCACCGCCCGCTCATACGCTGCACCGCCCGCTCATACGCTGCACCGCCCGTTCATACGCTGCACCGCCCGCTCATACGCTGCACCGCCCGCTCATACGCTGCACCGCCCGCTCATACGCTGCACCGCCCGCTCATACGCTGCACCGCCAACTCATACGCTGCACCGCCCGCTCATACGCTGCACCGCCCGCTCATACGCTGCACCGCCCGCTCATACGCTGCACCGCCCGCTCAAACGCTGCACCGCCAGCTCATACGCTGCACCGCCCGCTCATACGCTGCACCGCCCGCTCATACGCTGCACCGCCCGCTCATACGCTGCACCGCACGCTCATACGCTGCACCGCACGCTCATACGCTGCACCTGCACATACGCTGCACCGCCCGCTCAAACGCTGCACCGCCAGCTCATACGCTGCACCGCCCGCTCAAATGCTGCACCGCCAGCTCATACGCTGCACTGCGAGAGAGAAAAGGGCGGCGAGTGGTACATGTGCTCACCGCTCTCTGTGTGTGCAGTATGTGCGCCCTGGCCTTGGCTATGGCCTCATAACCGCGTGGGTTGCCCGTCTCCACCAGCACCTGTGCTCCCACACACACCCAGGTGGGAGAAAGTGACGAGACGAGATGGCACGAGAAGAGATGAGACAAGTAAGGAGGACGATGTGGTCGGGGAGGCGGGCAGGAGCATGCATGTCATGCCATGGTACCACATCACCACATGCCATCACAACATCACATCACATACCATCACATACCATCACATACCATCACATGCCACCACATACCATCACATGCCACCACATGCCATGCCACACCATGCCACCACATGCCACCACACCATGACACATCATCACACACCATGACACACCATGACATGGCGGGCATGGCTCCAGAGGCGGTCCACAATGGCGCGCCTCTCATCCACCGACTCCACCTCGCCCAGTGCATACGCCTGTCACATGGGGGAAGCAGGGAGAAGGGTGAGGGTGGGAAGAGAGGCACGGGGCAGCAGAACGATGGGAGAAAGCTACATTTAGAGACGGTGCTGCAACGAGGAAGACAGGTGCTTCAGAAAAAAAGAACCACACATCACATGTCACCTCCACACCAATCACAGCAATGGGTAGGGTACAGGGTGTAACCCAACAAATCCCCCCCCCACACTCACCGCCACCACAACATCGAACACCCGGTCGGCCCCGCGTGCCTCCCTTGAGAGGTGCTGCAGGGTGGTGTATCGAACCACCTCCGGCAGCGCACGTGGGGGCTTGGGACCCGCTGCTGCCACTGGTGGGGGGGGACGGGGAGAGGGGGGATGGGGTGGGTAAGGAAGGGAGGAGGGAAAAGGGAGAGGAGGGAGGGATGGGGAAAAAAAAACGAGGAGGGCGGTGCAGGAGTGTGAATGGTAATGGTAATGGGGTAATGATAATGGTAATGGTAATGATAATGGGGTAATGGTAATGGTAATGGTAATGGTAATTGGGTAATGATAATGGTATGGTAATGGTAATGTGATAATAGTAATGGTAATGGTAATGGTAATGGGGTAATGGTAATGGTAATGGTAATGGTAATGGTAATGGTAATTGGGTAATGATAATGGTAATGGTAATGGGGTAATGGTAATGGTAATGGTAATGGTAAAGGGGTAATGGTAATGGTAATGGTAATGGGATAATAGTAATGGTAATGGTGATGGTAATGGTAATGGGGTAATGGTAATGGTAATGGTAATGGTAATGCAACGCAATGGTCCAAGTCCCTTCACGCAGTCTCACAGTCCCGCTTACTTGCATCCATTTCACCCAACCCCCTCATCTACCCTCACCTGCCCTCACCCTACCCCTCACCGCTCACCTGCTCTGATGCGCTCCCCCATGGCCCACATGGCATCAGCAGGCTCCACCGCTGCTGCCTTCTGCACTGTGCTGCCCCACACCTCACTCGCCGCCCTGCACATAGAGCACATAGAGCACCGCACAGAAGCACAGCAGATACAGCACTGTCCAAGGTGGGTGGAAATGATTAGTCTGGGCTGCACCCGCCGTGAGCATGAGCAGCTGGCAGGTGGGAGGATTTGGAAGCACAACAATTCATCTCACTACATCACGGCACACCCCACCGCATCTCACCACATCACGGTGCCAGGCCCGGATCCAAAGTCCAGCAGGGAGGAGGGTGCGAGGGAGGGCAGTCGCCGCTTCACCTGCCGCCAGTGGAGGTATGGGCAGGAGGGGCGGGCGCGCCGGGAGGGAGGGAGGGGCAGAGGCGGGAGGGATAGAATGAGGGGTGAAGGAAGAAAGGAGGGAATACAGCACGGTGGAGTAAGGTTTGTGTAGGACGCAGAGGGTTGGGTGGCGCTGTTGGTGCGCCAGCCACACATAACCAGACACAGCGGGTTAGAGAGCACCCAATCAAGCGCCCCCCCTCTCCCTCTCCCCGATACGCGCAGCCCAAGCTCCCCACCTCAGTGAGAGCGCGGAACACGGCGGCATAGGTGGAGGGCATGCGCGCAGCCGCGTACGCCAGGGCCTCTGTCTCCCCATACTCCACTGCGCGCCTCCCCCCCTCCCCCCGCTCCCGCGCCCCCCCTTTCCCCCTCTCCGCCAATTCCCCCGCGCCCCCTTCCCCCCCCTCCTCCGCGCCCTTCCCCCAGGAATTCTTCTCCCATCCGCGCAGCAGCCGCACCATCCGCGCGTCCGGAATGCGCCCCACGTCCATTTCGCGCATCAGCGGCGGCTCCCGCGTGTCGTCTGCCAGGCGCTCCGCGGACGGCTGCGGCCACCCGCTGAAGAACGCGTCGTAGGCGGACATCAGCCGGCGCACGTCGCGGTGCACGTGCGCGGAGCTTGTTGCGCCTGGGGGAGGCGGAAGTGTTGAGGGAAACGGGGGAGGGCGGAGAGGTTTGGATGCGGGGGGCGCTGTCGGGAGGGAAGGCGGGAAGGCGGATGCTTTCTGGGGAGAGAGTGGCGGGCGGATCGTGACGTCATGAAGCGTGCATGCGCGTCGCGACCTGGGCGGTAACTACCTTCCGCGATAATGGATTTAATCGACTGCTGCAGCGCGTTCGGCAGGCACACCTGCCCGATCTCCACCAAGCCTCGGTTCCGAAGCACACGTTCGGGCTGCCGAGCCACGGCGAGCTGCTGCGCCTCCAGCAGCCCCGGCATCAGCATCGGCCCCTTCCGCTTCTTCCACGCCGCGCGCGTTGCGCGGAACGCGCCGCCCCACGCGGCCATTCCGCCGACCGCCCTCCGAACCCTGCTGCAGGGATTCTACAAACTGTCGGATCGCGTGTTTACTTTCTGCCGATTGGGTGCAGAAGGTGGCTGGAGCTCGATCGTGAAGCCTGGTCTCTTTCGAGGATTCATTGCGATACTAGTGCCTCGATAATGCATCCGTGCATAGCAATTCTGGAACCACACTATTCAATATAATCAAGAGAACGTTTTCAACTATAATATATACAGAGGACGAGAATCGGAGCAATTGACACAGCGTGTACTAAACAAAGCGTTATTTCCATAATCCATAAGCCGCAAAAGACAATGCTATTCACCCTAACATCCGTGCAGAATCAGGTCAGGACTGGCCTGCCTTGGCTCGCAGCAGAGTTTCCACGACGCGGCTCATCTTGTCCCAGGCGATGGGCTTGCTGAGGAAGCCGTCCATCCCCGCCGCCTCTATCTCCGGCGCCAACACGTCCGCCGTCAACGCGTACACCGGGATGCGCGCCTCCTTTCCTGGCAGCTTCCTGATCTCACGCGTGGCTGTCAAGCCGTCCTGCATAGTGGGGTGAGGGGGCATGGGAGAGGAGCGAGGAGGCTGGCAGATGAGTGATGTGCCCAGCAATGCACATGTAGCATGCATGACACATTGGGCTAACGCATGTGGCGTGTGTGGAACCACTCACCATCATGTGATCCTATACGCCCATAACTCACCATGATGGGCATCTGAATATCCATGAGAACAAGGTCGAATGGCTTTGCTTGCACTGCCTCCACTGCCAGCCGCCCGTTGAGCACCAGTGTCACCTGCCATGCCATGCCATGCCATGCCATGCCATGCCATGCCATGCCATGCCATGCCATGCCAATGCGCGGAAGGGCGGAAGCCCTAGGTCAAGTTTCGGGCCCTGTTCGATAGCCTAACGGAACGGGACGTGAGGGGTTGGTTCTGTGAGTTTCATCCCGAACCAGACACAACAAAAAATTGCAACCGCAGAAATTTTCCCATCCCCGTTCCGTTGCAGGCGAGACACCTGCTATCGAACAGGGCCTCGGTTGGTTTGGGAACCCCCAGTCCCCTCCCTCTTTCCGCCTCGATGGTTTCTCCACAAACGGGTACTTGGTTCACCCGGTTTTCAAGTGATAAACCAAGGCCTGTCCCTGGAGGTATGTAGACCGCAGCTTTAAAGGTCTCAGGTCTCCCGACAGTGATTCCCCAAAAACGCAAGCTATCAAGCAGCCCTCATGCATTGCGCTGCACCCCTCAAGCTCACCTCGTGCCCATAGTGCTGCAGCATCTTGCGAATGAGCATCTGGTTCACCCTGTTGTCCTCCGCCACCAGCACCCGCAACTTGCCGCCCCCTCCCCCTTCTGCACCCGCCGCACCTCCTCCTGCTGCTGCAGCCGCACCTGCGCCACTCACTGCCCCCCCCCCCAGACGCCGGTTTCCCCACCTCCACCCCCTTGCCTCCTGCTCCGCCTCCTGCCTCTTCTCCCTCCCTGCCCTCTGCCTGCTCCTCTGCTTTCCCAGCCTTGCCACCCGAACCAACCACTCCACCAACCAGCGCTCCTGCAGCAGCAGCAGAGCCAGCAGCAGCGGAGGCAGCAGCAGCAGCAGCAGGAGCAGCCTGCTTCTGCTGCTTGAGCTTGGCGTTCTTGGCGTGCAGCAGCGAGCTTACGACGTGGCTCATCTTGTCCCAGGCGATGGGCTTGCTGAGGAAGCCGTCCATCCCCGCCGCCTCTATCTCCGGCGCCAACACGTCCGCCGTCAACGCGTACACCGGGATGCGCGCCTCCCTTCCTGGCAGCTTCCTGATCTCACGCGTGGCACTCAGCCCGTCTTGGAAGAGGCAGGGGAAAGAGGAGGCAGGTGGGGAAAAAAACAGGCGGAGGCTTCACTAAGGAGTGGAGAAAAAGGCTGGTGTGGGTGGAAGTAAGATTATGAGAAGACGACAGAGGTGAGTCAGGCTCAGCAGCACGGGCATGGCTCAGCAGCACGGGCTTGTGCATGTCCCTAAGAAGGTGAGAAGGAGGTAGACAGGGAGAGAGGGTGGAGATCAAGCAGGGTTCACACCAGCACGGCATGGCTCACCAGCACGGCACGGCATGGCTCACCAGCACGGCACGGCATGGCTCACCAGCACGGGCATCTGCAAGTCCATGAGCACGAGGTCGAAGCTCTCTTTCTGCACCGCGTCCACGGCCAGGCGCCCATTGCCCACCACCGTGACGTCGTGGCCGTAGTGCTTGAGCAGGCGGCGGATGAGCAGCTGGTTCACCTTGTTGTCCTCCGCTACCAACACACGCAGACTCTTGCACTCCTCCTCCTCCTCCTCTTCCTCCTCTTCCTCCTCCTCTTCCTCATCACCCTGCCCCTCCACCTCCCTTTTCTCTTCCCGTTTCCCCTCTCTTCCACCCCCCTCGGCCCCCTCCACCTCCATTTTCGCTGATACCGCTTGCCTATCCCCCTCCTCACCCTCCTTCCCCGCTTGGCCCCCGGCCAGGCAAGGCGAGGGGGAGCGCCGGCCTGCCCCCAGGGGGGAGGCAGGCGGGCCGCCCTTGGCGGATGGGGGGAAGGGGGCGGACGCGGGGAGGAGGGGGATGAGGGCGAAGGCCTGGGTGCCTTTGGACGGCTGGGATTTGATCCAGAGGCGCCCGCCCATCAGCGCCAGCAGCCCATGGCTGATGGCCAGCCCTAGGCCTGTGCCGCCCACTCCCCTGCGCACACGGGGAGTGAGGGGGGAGAACGAGGAGGCAAACAGGGAAAGGTGGGAGATTGCAGAGGAGATGGGGGGGGGGCACAAGGGGAGAGGGTCATGGACAACTGTGAGAAGCTCAAGCGCTGCCCCCAACCCATCTCCACACTCCACGCATTCCCCAGCCACGCTCCACCCTGGCCGCTTCCCCTTCCCTATTGGCCGACTCCCCCACTCACCCTCTCTGAGCGCCGGCCTGAGCCATGAAGAGCACCTGCTGCACCTCCTCCTCCGCCATGCCCTCCCCCTCGTCCGCCACACACACCTCGTACCACACCCGCTCCCGCTCCTTGCCCACCTCCCCCTTCTCCTCCCCCTCTCCTTCCTTCCCCTCCTCCTCTCCCTCCTTGGCTACTACCCCCTGCTCCTCCTCCCTGTCTTTATCCTCTTCCTCCTCCATCTCCTCCCCCTCTTCCCCACTCTCCCCGTCCTCTTCGCTCCCGTCCTCCACCTCCGCCCCTCCTCTCCCCTTTTCACCGCCCTCCTTCCCCCCTGTGCTTCCCCCAGTGTCAACCCTTGCACTGCCGGAACACCCAACATCACCCACAGCAGCCACCACCTCGCCTATAGTCACAACCGTCTCTGCTCCCCCGCTACTAGCACCCCCACTATAACCCCCCCGAGCAGAATCCCCTTCCCCACGCTCCCTCCTGCCCGAATCACCCCCTCCCTGACCTTCACTCTGCAGCTTTCCCCTCTCATTCCCCCCACCCCAGGCAACGCTCCCACCTTCCTCGCCCTTCCCCCGCCTCCCCTGCTCCGCCACACCAGCAGACGCATGCCTCCTGAGCGCGCGCTCCCGCTGCTGCACGCTCCTCCCCATGCGCCCCACCACCTCCACCGCCCCTGCCCGCCCCGTACTGCTCCTTCTCACCACCCCCCCGCCCCCCTCCCCTCGCGCCCCACCCCCTCGCCGCACAATCACGTCCCCCGACCCCCCGCGCAGCAACCCAGCGTCCCCCACCCTCCCCCCCAGCCCCTCACACACGCCCGTGCCTACAAGCACAGACCCGTCCTGTACAACGCCGTCCGTTACAGTCACGTCCTCAAAGCCATGCAGGCGGCCCACGGGCTGCTGCAGAGAGCGCAGCCACTGCTGCGCCTCTGAGCTCGCCCGCACACTCACCCTCCCCACGTCCTCCTCCCCCGCCGCCCGCCCCCCCTGCCACACCACGCGCAGCCTCGGGCTGGCTGGGGGGCGGAGAGAGGGGAGGGACGGGGAGGCGGGAGTGGGTGTGGGAGGGATTGCAGGGGTGCTGGGGGTGAGGTAAGTGGTGGGGGCAGGTGCTGCTGCTGTAGCAGCGGCGGCTGTAGCAGCGGCGGCTGTAGCAGGAGTGGTGGTGGCTGCAGCTGTAGCAGGTGCAGGGAGTATATCCCCACACAGCATCTCCACGTCAGCTGCCACGTCAGAGCCTGGGCCGTCATCCAGCACGACAACATCCGCCACGTCAGCAGACACGCTGCTGCCACCGGAGGGTCTGAGCGGACTGGAAACCGGCATGAAAGGTTCACCCAGCAGCATTGTCACGTCAGCAGCTGATTCTAACACTCCTGCATCTTCTCCCTCTCCCACTCCTGCTCCCTCTCCCCCCATGCCTCCCCCTTCCCCTTCTCGTGCGCTCGGTTCCCCCCCATCACACTCGCCCATCCACTCCATCCGCCCCCCTGCCCCGCTCCCACTGCCCCAACTCGCACTTCTCACACTCTACTCAGGCTCGGCGCCGACCCTGCACCCATCCCCAAGCCTGCATCCAATGCCGAGCCTGCAGGCCCGTGCGTCTCCTGACCAGCTGGCAGCCGCACTCCAGCCACACCCCCAGCAACATTAGCAGAACCCAGCGCTCCGCCCGTGGCACCCCCACAAGCAGCAGCGGCAGCAGCAGCAGCAGTAGCCGCAGCAGCAGCAGACACTCTTGGCAGAACACCGCCTGCTGCTGACGCTGATTCAAAGCTGGCCAGGTAGGGCGCGAGCAGGGAGTAGAGCTGCGGCGGCAGGGAGGCGAGGTTCGGCGGGAGGGAGGGCGCGGAGTGCAGAGCAGAGCAAGGAGCAGAGCGAGGCGCGGCGTGCAATACTTGGGTGAGGTCAGCGGAGCCAGAGCCCCCAGAGGTGCCGTGCAGGCGCGTGACCCGCGTGCGGTGGGTCAGATCTGCTGACAGCCGCCTTGCTAATAGCCGAGGCTGCTCCTGCCCTGCTGCTACTGCTGCTGCTGCTGCCCCTGCATGCCCGCTGCTGCTGCGTACGGGACTGGAGGGGAAGCCACCGGATGATGTGCCTTGACGCTGCGCTGAGGGCGCAGAGGAGATGTTTCCTTCCTGCCCTGCAGACACGCTGCAGGGCACTCGCACTCCCTGCCCGCCTGCCCCCCCCCCACCCTCCACTCGCTGCCTGCTTGCCCCGACCCTGCCTCGCCCCCTCGCTAGACCCCTCCCTGCTTTCCCCCCGCCCTCTCTTCCCCCTCCCCCACATCCGCCCCCGCTTGCTCTCCCCCCATCTCCCCCCGTCCGCCCCTTTCCCCACGACCCCACTGGTGCTGCCAGGGGAGGTCAGCGTGCCTGCTGCCCCCGCTGCCCCCCCAGCCTCTACTGCCCCTGCTGCGTCCGCTGCCTCTGCTGCCTCCACAGTCTCTGCAGCAGCGGTGCTATCGCCCGCGGGGGCAGACAGTGAGGCAGCAAGCGAGTGAGAGTGTGACTGTATCGAGCGACTGCCGGACTCCATTGGGCTCCTGCCTCCCACCTCCTGCCCCAACTCCTGAGTCCCCTCCTGCCTCTCCCCCTCCTCCCCCTCCTGCCCCTCTCCCTCATCCCCCGTTTGCCCCTCTTCCCCCATCTCCGCTTCCACCTCCCCACTCTCTGTGCATTCCTGCTCCGCACTGTCACCATCAGCACAGCCAGAGGCAGAGGGGTCGGGCACAATGCGCCAGGAGACGGTGATGGTGCCGCGCTTGGAGAACTTCACCGCGTTGCTCACCAGATTCGCCACCACCTGCCGTGTGTGTGTGCGTGGGCGTGGGCGGGGAGGGAAGGAGCGGGAAGAGGGCGGAGAGCAGCGGAGAGGAGGGAGCGGAAACAGTGAAGAGTGTGGAGCAGATGGGCTTGATGCAATGGAGAGGAGAGGTGACAGAAGAAGCGGATTCTTGCAAGGATGCACGAACGCAGAAATGGACAAGAGCATGCGATGCTGGCTGCAACAAAGCAAGTGCTTTGCTGTTCCCTTCATTTACCTCGCTAGCAGCCTTCACATGCCCAGCTAACCCACCTGCTTGACGCGCACGGGGTCGCCACAGACGTAGAGTGCGTCGGGGGGCGGTGGGTGGATGAGGTGACTTTGAGTCGACTCAAAGACCTCACCTGCCCGCTCAACCCACCTGCTTGACGCGCACGGGGTCGCCACAGACGTAGAGAGCATCAGGGGGTGGTGGGTGGATGACCAGACGCATGCCCTTGTCCTGCACCGCTTGCTCGAACAGCACCACCACCTGCATGCATGGGCAAGGGGGAGAGGCGCGCAAGCAGGGGTGAGGTATGAGCGTCAGAGGAGTAAGGGACTCAGGGCAACCAGGCGCATGCCCTTGTACTGCACTGCCGGTTCAAAAAGAAACGCCACCTGCATCCAGAGACGGAGCTGGGTGGGGGAGAATGCAGCCGGGTGGGGGAGGACGGAGCCTGATGGGGCCTGATGGGGGGCCTGATGGGGAACCTGATGGGGAACCTGATGGGGAACCTGATGGGGGGCCTGATGGGGGGCCTGATGGGGAACCTGATGGGGAACCTGATGGGGAACCTGATGGGGAACCTGATGGGGAACCTGATGGGGAACCTGATGGGGAACCTGATGGGGAACCTGATGGGGGGCCTGATGGGGGGCCTGATGGGGAACCTGCTGGGGAACCTGCTGGGGAACCTGCTGGGGAACCTGCTGCGGAACCTGATGCGGAACCTGATGGGGAACCTGATGGGGAACCTGATGGGGAACCTGATGGGGAACCTGATGGGGAACCTGATGGGGAACCTGATGGGGAACCTGATGGGGAACCTGATGGGGAACCTGATGGGGAACCTGATGGGGAACCTGATGGGGAACCTGATGGGGAACCTGATGGGGAACCTGATGGGGAACCTGATGGGGAACCTGATGGGGAACCTGATGGGGAACCTGATGGGGAACCTGATGGGGAACCTGATGGGGAACCTGATGGGGAACCTGATGGGGAACCTGATGCGGAACCTGATGCGGAACCTGATGCGGAACCTGATGCGGAACCTGATGCGGAACCTGATGCGGAACCTGATGCGGAACCTGATGCGGAACCTGATGCGGAACCTGATGCGGAACCTGATGCGGAACCTGATGCGGAACCTGATGCGGAACCTGATGCGGAACCTGATGCGGAACCTGATGCGGAACCTGATGGGGAACCTGATGGGGAACCTGATGGGGAACCTGATGGGGAACCGGATGCGGAACCCGATGCGGAACCCGATGCGGAACCCGATGCGGAACCCGATGCAGAACCCGATGCGGAACCCGATGCGGAACCCGATGCGGAACCCGATGCGGAACCCGATGCGGAACCCGATGCGGAACCCGATGCGGAACCCGATGCGGAACCCGATGCGGAACCCGATGCGGAACCCGATGCGGAACCCGATGCGGAACCCGATGCGGAACCAGATGCGGAACCAGATGCGGAACCAGATGCGGAACCAGATGCGGAACCTGATGGGGAACCTGATGGGGAACCTGATGGGGAACCTGATGGGGAACCTGATGGGGAACCTGATGGGGAACCTGATGGGGAACCTGATGGGGAACCTGATGCGGAACCTGATGCGGAACCTGATGGGGAACCTGATGGGGAACCTGATGGGGAACCTGATGGGGAACCTGATGGGGAACCTGATGCGGAACCTGATGCGGAACCGGATGCGGAACCGGATGCGGAACCTGATGCGGAACCTGATGGGGAACCTGATGGGGAACCTGATGGGGAACCTGATGGGGAACCTGATGCGGAACCTGATGCGGAACCTGATGCGGAACCTGATGCGGAACCTGATGGGGAACCTGATGGGGAACCTGATGGGGAACCTGATGGGGAACCTGATGGGGAACCTGATGGGGAACCTGATGGGGAACCTGATGGGGAACCTGATGGGGAACGTGATGGGGAACGTGATGCGGAACGTGCTGCGGAACGTGATGCGGAACGTGATGCGGAACGTGATGGGGAACGTGATGGGGAACGTGATGGGGAACGTGATGGGGAACGTGATGGGGAACGTGATGGGGAACGTGATGGGGAACGTGATGCGGAACGTGATGCGGAACGTGATGCGGAACGTGATGCGGAACGTGATGCGGAACGTGATGGGGAACGTGATGGGGAACGTGATGGGGAACGTGATGGGGAACGTGATGCGGAACGTGATGCGGAACGTGATGCGGAACGTGATGCGGAACGTGATGCGGAACGTGATGCGGAACGTGATGCGGAACGTGATGCGGAACGTGATGCGGAACGTGATGGGGAACCTGATGGGGAACCTGATGGGGAACCTGATGGGGAACCTGATGGGGAACCTGATGGGGAACCTGATGGGGAACCTGATGGGGAACCTGATGGGGAACCTGATGCGGAACCTGATGCGGAACCTGATGCGGAACCTGATGCGGAACCTGATGGGGAACCTGATGGGGAACCTGATGGGGAACCTGATGGGGAACCTGATGGGGAACCTGATGGGGAACCTGATGGGGAACCTGATGGGGAACCTGATGGGGAACCTGATGGGGAACCTGATGGGGAACCTGATGGGGAACCTGATGGGGAACCTGATGGGGAACCTGATGGGGAACCTGATGGGGAACCTGATGGGGAACCTGATGGGGAACCTGATGGGGAACCTGATGGGGAACCTGATGGGGAACCTGATGGGGAACCTGATGGGGAACCTGATGCGGAACCTGATGCGGAACCTGATGGGGAACCTGATGCGGAACCTGATGGGGAACCTGATGCGGAACCTGATGCGGAACCTGATGGGGAACGTGATGGGGAACGTGATGCGGAACGTGATGCGGAACCTGATGCGGAACCTGATGCGGAACCTGATGCGGAACCTGATGCGGAACCTGATGGGGAACCTGATGGGGAACCTGATGGGGAACCTGATGCGGAACCTGATGCGGAACCTGATGCGGAACCTGATGCGGAACCTGATGCGGAACCTGATGCGGAACCTGATGCGGAACCTGATGCGGAACCTGATGCGGAACCTGATGCGGAACCTGATGCGGAACCTGATGGGGAACCTGATGGGGAACCTGATGGGGAACCTGATGGGGAACCTGATGGGGAACCTGATGGGGAACCTGATGGGGAACCTGATGGGGAACCTGATGGGGAACCTGATGCGGAACCTGATGCGGAACCTGATGCGGAACCTGATGCGGAACCTGATGCGGAACCTGATGCGGAACCTGATGCGGAACCTGATGCGGAACCTGATGCGGAACCTGATGCGGAACCTGATGCGGAACCTGATGGGAACCTGATGGGAACCTGATGGGGAACCTGATGGGGAACCTGATGCGGAACCTGATGGGGAACCTGATGCGGAACCTGATGGGGAACCTGATGGGGAACCTGATGGGGAACCTGATGGGGAACCTGATGGGGAACGTGATGGGGAACGTGATGGGGAACGTGATGGGGAACGTGATGGGGAACGTGATGGGGAACGTGATGGGGAACGTGATGGGGAACGTGATGGGGAACGTGATGGGGAACGTGATGCGGAACGTGATGCGGAACGTGATGCGGAACGTGATGGGGAACGTGATGGGGAACGTGATGGGGAACGTGATGGGGAACGTGATGGGGAACGTGATGGGGAACGTGATGGGGAACGTGATGGGGAACGTGATGCGGAACGTGATGCGGAACGTGATGCGGAACGTGATGCGGAACGTGATGCGGAACGTGATGCGGAACGTGATGCGGAACGTGATGCGGAACCTGATGCGGAACCTGATGGGGAACGTGATGGGGAACGTGATGGGGAACGTGATGCGGAACGTGATGCGGAACGTGATGCGGAACGTGATGCGGAACGTGATGCGGAACGTGATGCGGAACGTGATGCGGAACGTGATGCGGAACGTGATGCGGAACGTGATGCGGAACGTGATGCGGAACGTGATGGGGAACCTGATGGGGAACCTGATGGGGAACCTGATGGGGAACCTGATGGGGAACCTGATGGGGAACCTGATGGGGAACCTGATGGGGAACCTGATGGGGAACCTGATGGGGAACCTGATGGGGAACCTGATGCGGAACCTGATGCGGAACCTGATGCGGAACCTGATGCGGAACCTGATGGGGAACCTGATGGGGAACCTGATGGGGAACCTGATGGGGAACCTGATGGGGAACCTGATGGGGAACCTGATGGGGAACCTGATGGGGAACCTGATGGGGAACCTGATGGGGAACCTGATGGGGAACCTGATGGGGAACCTGATGGGGAACCTGATGGGGAACCTGATGGGGAACCTGATGGGGAACCTGATGGGTAACCTGATGGGGAACCTGATGGGGAACCTGATGGGGAACCTGATGGGGAACCTGATGGGGAACCTGATGGGGAACCTGATGGGGAACCTGATGCGGAACCTGATGCGGAACCTGATGGGGAACCTGATGCGGAACCTGATGGGGAACCTGATGCGGAACCTGATGCGGAACCTGATGGGGAACCTGATGCGGAACCTGATGCGGAACCTGATGCGGAACGTGATGCGGAACGTGATGCGGAACCTGATGGGGAACCTGATGGGGAACCTGATGGGGAACCTGATGGGGAACCTGAGGGGGAACCTGACGCGGAACCTGAGGGGGAACCTGACGCGGAACCTGAGGGGGAACCTGATGCGGAACCTGATGCGGAACCTGATGCGGAACCTGATGCGGAACCTGATGCGGAACCTGATGCGGAACCTGATGCGGAACCTGATGCGGAACCTGATGCGGAACCTGATGCGGAACCTGATGCGGAACCTGATGCGGAACCTGATGCGGAACCTGATGCGGAACCTGGTGGGGAACCTGGTGGGGAACCTGCTGCGGAACCTGCTGCGGAACCTGCTGCGGAACCTGATGCGGAACCTGATGCGGAACCTGATGCGGAACCTGATGCGGAACCTGATGCGGAACCTGATGGGGAACCTGATGGGGAACCTGATGGGGAACCTGATGGGGAACCTGATGGGGAACCTGATGGGGAACCTGATGGGGAACCTGATGGGGAACCTGATGGGGAACCTGATGGGGAACCTGATGGGGAACCTGATGGGGAACCTGATGGGGAACCTGATGGGGAACCTGATGGGGAACCTGATGGGGAACCTGATGCGGAACCTGATGCGGAACCTGATGCAGAACCTGATGCGGAACCTGATGCGGAACCTGATGCGGAACCTGATGCGGAACCTGATGCGGAACCTGATGCGGAACCTGATGCGGAACCTGATGCGGAACCTGATGGGGAACCTGATGGGGAACCTGATGGGGAACCTGATGGGGAACCTGATGGGGAACCTGATGGGGAACCTGATGGGGAACCTGATGGGGAACCTGATGGGGAACCTGATGGGGAACCTGATGGGGAACCTGATGGGGAACCTGATGGGGAACCTGATGGGGAACCTGATGCGGAACCTGATGCGGAACCTGATGGGGAACCTGATGGGGAACCTGATGGGGAAGTTGCGGAAGACGCTAGACGCGTCTTGCGTCTAGCGTCTAGACGCAGCGTCTAGTGTCTTCCGCAACTCCCACGCAGCCGGGTGGGGGAAGAACGCAGCTGGGTGGGGGAAGGACGCAGCCGGGTGGGGGAAGGACGCAGCCGGGTGGGGGAAGGACGCAGCTGGGTGGGGGAAGGACGCAGCTGGGTGGGGGAAGGACGCAGCTGGGTGGGGGAAGGATGCAGCCGGGTGGGGGAAGGACGCAGCCGGGTGGGGGAAGGACGCAGCCGGGTGGGGGAAGGACGCAGCTGGGTGGGGGAAGGACGCAGCTGGGTGGGGGAAGGACGCAGCCGGGTGGGGGAAGGACGCAGCCGGGTGGGGGAAGGACGCAGCTGGGTGGGGGAAGGACGCAGCTGGGTGGGGGAAGGACGCAGCCGGGTGGGGGAAGGACGCAGCTGGGTGGGGGAAGAACGCAGCTGGGTGGGGGAAGAACGCAACAGGGTGCCTTAGTAGTCAGCAGGCACCTGTTCAAGGAGGGAGGCGATGCTGAAGTCATTAGACTCGAGCAGCAGTCTCCCCGCCTCCATCTTGCAGAAGTCGAGGATGTTGTTGAGCACCGTCATCAGCCCGTGCGTGTGGTGACTATTGAATGCACCTCCATCCACCACGGCATGGAGTGACTGGAGCTCGCACCTGGTCCAGCAGGGCGGCGATGCTGAAGTCAATGGATTCGAGCAGCAGCCTCCCAGCCTCCATCTTGCATAAGTCAAGGATGTTGTTCAGCACCGTCATCAGCCCGTCCGCTGACGCCTGCATCAGCTTCAGCACCCCGTGCTGCTCCTCACTCATCTCCGTCAGCCGCAGTAGATCCAACATGCCCAGTACACCTGGGACCGTGGGGGGGGGGAGTGGGGAGTGGGCAGTGGGGTGGGGTCCAGCATGCCTAGGACGCCTGGAGTGGTGCAAAGGCGGGAGGGGGCGGCGGGGTCGTGGTGGTGGGAGGAGAAGGGCAAGCATGGCGTCACGGGGTGATGGGAAGGAAAGGAGAATGACAGCGACCATTCACCACACCCACACCCACACACCCATATCCATCAACTCCCACCCACTCACTCCCACCCGCCGCCCACCCACCAGTCATGGGCGTCCTGAGCTCGTGGCTCATAGTAGCAAGGAACTGTGACTTGGCGCGGTTGGCGGCGGCAATGGCCTGGCGGGCGCGGCGGTCGGCAGTGACGTCTTCAAAGAGCCACAGGCGCCCGTGCGCCGACGTGGTGTGCGCTGCCACGGGGTACGAGTGCACGCGCAGCACCATGGGCGGATCCCGCAGCTCCCACTCCTCCTCTATCTCCGTCTCTACCGCCCCCGCTACCATGCTGAACCACCTGTGAGGGGGAAGAGGGGTTGGAGCGGCCAGGAATTGGGAAGTTTGAGGGACAAGGGGTGGGTCGGAGAGGGGCTGGTTCGAGTCAATCGACTTGCAGCACAAGGGGGAAGGGTGTGGATGGCTTGTGAGAGAATGTTTTCCGATGGGAAAGGAAAGGAAGTGGAGGTTGTGGGGGGCGCCGTGACTCGCCTGTGCAGGTCGGGGCGGTTACCGCTCCTCTCGGCCAGCTGGCGCATGGCAGTTGCGACCTTCACGGGGTCCACCTCCCCGAAGCACGGCAGATCCAGCAGATCCGCCGCTGCTGGGTTCACCACCACCTGGTGTGGGATGGGAGGGGGAAGAGAAAGAGAGATGGCGGAGGGTGGCAGGGAGGGGGATGGAGGGGAGAAGGGAAGAACGCGCACGATCATAAGCATCTCCATGCAAAGGCATGAGCACCGGCATGCACACGGAATGGGCACACTTGCACCCACCTGTGCGAGCTCGTCATCCACGAACACGACGGCCTGCGGCATGCGCTTGAGGATGGCGTCAAACTGCTGCCCCAGGCGCGCTGACTGGCGCGCGGAGATGCGGTTTGCCATGAGCAGCGGCATCGTGTGTGCTGCGCGCCCCATCACCTCCTCCACTGTTGGGGGCACCTTGGCCGGGTCGCTCCACAGCGCGTACAGCACGCCCCGGTAGCTGCTCGTGGGGGAAGGGGGGGTTGGGGGAGGGAGGAGGAGAGAGGGGGGTTCACTTTTGAGGCATCTCAGAAAGCACCTTGGCAGGGTCGGTCCACAGCGCATGGAAACAGGAAGCAGGAGTGAAGGGCAGTGCAGAGTGAGTGAGGGTACAAAGGCCAGCAAGGGAGGTTCTCGACCCAATGAACTTTTGTGAGACGGGGCAATGCGACGCACTCACGTGTGCAGCGCAAAGGTAGTTACCCATACACGCACGCACCTGTGCAGGCGCACGAATCGGCCCATGAAGCGGCGGGGGTGGCAGCCCAGCACATCCTCGATGACCGCTGGCAGATGCAGCCCCGCCGTGCTCACCACCTGGGAAGGTGGGAGGGGAGGGATGGACGCATGGGGAAGGCATTGGAAGAGAGTGGCGGAATGAACGCAGGGGGGAAGACGGGGCTATGGGGAGAGAATGGACGCAGGGGGTGGGGCATGGGAAGCATGATTACCTTGTGTCGCTTGCACGCCTTCATCATTACATTGTGTCGCTTGCACGCCTTCATCATTACCTTGTGTCGCTTGCACGCCTTCATCATTACCTCGTGTCGCTTGCATGTCTTCATCATTACCTTGTGTCGCTTGCATGTCTTCATCATTACCTTGTGTCGCTTGTATGTCTTCATCATTACCTCGTGTCGCTTGCATGTCTTCATCATTACCTTGTGTCGCTTGCATGTCTTCATCATTACCTTGTGTCGCTTGCATGTCTTCATCATTACCTTGTGTCGCTTGCATGTCTTCATCATTACCTTGTGTCGCTTGCATGCCTTCATCATTACCTTGTGTCGCTTGCATGCCTTCATCATTACCTTGTGTCGCTTGCACGCCTTCATCATTACCTTGTGTCGCTTGCACGCCTTCATCATTACCTTGTGTCGCTTGCACGCCTTCATCATTACCTTGTGTCGCTTGCACGCCTTCATCATTACCTTGTGTCGCTTGCACGCCTTCATCATTACCTTGTGTCGCTTGCACGCCTTCATCATTACCTTGTGTCGCTTGCACGCCTTCATCATTACCTTGTGTCGCTTGCACGCCTTCATCATTACCTTGTGTCGCTTGCACGCCTTCATCATTACCTTGTGTCGCTTGCACGCCTTCATCATTACCTTGTGTCGCTTGCACGCCTTCATCATTACCTTGTGTCGCTTGCATGTCTTCATCGTTACCTTGTGTCGCTTGCATGCCTTCATCATTACCTTGTGTCGCTTGCATGCCTTCATCATGCGCCTACAAAAGGGAACCATCTCCGGCACAACCCCCTTGGGCGTCGACAGGATCGACTCCGCCACCCGCACCACCTCCATTTCCTCCCCCCTCCCCCGCGCGCTCCCCCTCCCGCTCCCCCTCCCCCCTCCCCTTCCGCCCCCCTCGTCGCGGCTGTCACATCTCCCTGCGCCCTCTTCCCCGCCTCTTCCGCCGCCACGGAACCCCGCTCCACTGCTCCTCCCCATGCCCTCACGGCTGCAGAACCCTCCGCTCTCCCCGTACCCACTAACATCCCCTCCGCTACTGGCGCATGCGCCAAACTCCCCGGACCTGTCCGCGCTGGCTTCCGCGCCAAGCGAATGCGCGCCGAAGGCGGGCGCAACGGGGGAGAAAGCAGCGCCGGGGAAGAGAGGCGGAGGGGCGGGGGGAGCGCCTGCAGCAGCCGCGGCTTCGTCCGCCGCCTGCGCCATATCCGCGACAGTGGGGCCTGGCGGAGGCAATAGAACCGCCATGACGACCACGTCAGCTTCTAGTGACGTGGCAATGACCTGGAGGACGGTCTGCGGGAGATGGACCGACGCGCTCCCGGGACTCCCGGACGGAGAATCGACTCCTAGAAGTTGCCGAACTGGCCTGCGCGACACGCCGTCTCCGTCGAGCATGTCCTCGTCAGCGCCGTCCACGCCATCGTCCTCGCGCGTGACGAGGCTAAGAAAATCCCCCTCCGCGGGACGAGGCTCGTCGTCGCCTTCCGCCGGCAGGTTGACGTGGCTCCAGCCGGCAAGTGGGCCCGGCACGCCGAGCGTGGCCTCGAGATTCGCGCCGATGTCGCCGGCTAAGATGCCGGCTCCGTACGACAACAGCGACGCCATGAGCAGCGATGGTCGCGAGCGATTAAGATAGGCGCAGGCGAGCTAACGATGCGACGCTCGCGCAAGCTTGCGCTTTTCAAGGCGGATAGCCGTCAACGACGGGCGAGAAACGACAGCATTCTGTGCGGCAGGACTGTAAGACGATTACAACAGGTTTTTAGAATCAAAATGTCAATACACAAGATGCCCAACCCCTGCGCGCGAATTTGCCCTGCCCGCGATGGAAACTCTGCACCCGTGTATTAGGGTGCCAGCCAGTTGCACCCCATTTACAAGCACCTCGACCAAGACGAACCACAAAAACCGAAGTTTGACAGAAGAGACCAACGTCAAACGGTCAACAGAGAGTTACAAAATCTTTTGAAAGCCCTTTTTACTAAGTGCGAATTGACTAAAACTTAGCTAAATGCAAGAATCACTTAAGAGCCCTCTTCACAAGGCAACCTTGGGCTAGTCAAACGGGCGTCTTGTGTAGCTTTCTCTTAATACTGTATCAGTGGGTAGCAACTGCAGTGCTTTGGAAGACTCGTTGATGATTAAATATATCCCAGTATCAGGGAAAAGTGCCATGGTAGTACAGTCCTCCCATTCAGAATTGGCATACTATTAAAAGACTGCTAGCCTTGCAAGCACGCATAGTTTGCTCAGCCCTCTGCACTCACATCTATTTGTGCTTTAGGCAATGAAATACCGTACAAGTAGTCGTTTGCAGACTCTGGGCAAAGCAGTACATTGCAATAAGAAACCACTCACTCATGGAACCTTTTCATGTCAATAAGGCCAACTCAACTGCTACCGTGCGTGGTGGCATCTACCTAGAAGGGCTGGTTGCGACACTCTCTCAGGATGACAGGCACGCTGGATGTGGGCACCTGGTAGGCACGCAGGCACATGGGGCGGTGGCATGCATGGGGGAGACAAGGCTGGTGATTAGGAGATGGATGCGAGGATGGGTGCTTTGGATGGTATGTGGCATGTGCATGTGGCATGGGGCATGGGGCATGGGGCATGGGGCATGGGGCATGGGGCATGGGGCATGGGGCATGGTGAAGGTGCATCTCACCACGCCAATCTCGGTGACAATGCCCGTGATGTAGTCCGCTGGTGTGAGGTCAAACCTGCTCATGCCCCCACCCACACACCCATGCACCCACACACCCACACACCCACACACCCATGCACCCATACACCCATGCACCCATGCACCCGATGCACACACACATGCAGGCAGGCACACATGCAGGCAGGCACACATGCAAGCAGGCACACATGCAAGATCACAAAATGATGCACAGACACAACTTATGAATTCAAGACAAGGATAACAGATGTAAACACTGAGAATGCGCCAGGAGAAGCAGGCAGGCAGGATGCAATGGAGGGGGCAAGGCAAAAAAAGCTGACATTGGTGTCCTTTCGTTTTTACGAGCATGTGAGTAAGGTACGATGGATTGATGCTGAGGACGGGAGAAAGAGAGGGAGAGAGTGGTGAGAGGATGCGGGCAATGGAAAGTGCAAGGGAGGGGCCGTACTGGATGTTGAGGGGGCGCAGGTTGGCCGTGCTCTGCCAGTGCTGCAGCGGTGCCGCCTCCGCCGCCTCTGATGTGTCGGACGGTTCCGATGGCAGCGGTGATGTTGGCGAGAGCGGTGACACGCCCGTGCTGATAAGCACTTGTGGATCGCCTGGTGGGGAGCAGAGGAAGGCCAACTAGTGATGAGGGACGGCGGTGAGTGAGAGATGGGTGAGGAGTAGATGATGCAATGTGCAGCAGAGGATTTATAAGTCAACACAAGTCAACGTGAGTCAACAGGGTCAACGCACCGATCTCGTTGTGGGTGATGGAGTCGAGCTGCACGCGCTCATGGAACTTGCTGGACTCGCAGCACACCAGCACCGGCACGCGCTGTGCATGCGCCATCATCGCCACCGCTGCCGTCCCCACCCTCGCATACGCTGCTCCGTTCGCCAGTACTGCTGCTGCCCCCAGGAACACACGTGTCACATCCTGATTGGGTGGCGGGAAGAGGTTGGGATGAGCGAGAAGAGAGGGTGAGGAGGAAGAGGGATGGGCGAGTAGAGCGGAGAATGAACACCACTTGGTCATACCCTTATTCTCCTGCTAAGCAAAGAAAGTCTAGACTCATTCGTAATATCAAAACCCTCTCTGCCTTCTTGCCGCTGCCACACCTTCATGATGTACGATGCGGCGTTGAGCCGCAGATAGAGACAAGAGATGCCGCCCGTGAGCAGGCGGCGCACCATTTCCTTGCCCTCCAGGTGCGGCCGTGAGTCCACCACTATGGCTCTGAACCTGTGCCCTGCTCGCGCTGCCGACAGCAGCACCTGGGGGTGCGGGGAGAGGAAGGAGGAGAGGAGAGAAGACATTGCGACATAAAGGAGAGAGCAACATGAGAGGGAAGAAGGAAGCCAGCCAATGAAAAGCCAACACCGTTCCTCACCACCCTTCACCGCTCCTCACCTCCAGCACGAGTTCAGACCACCCAAAGGTGAGAATGAAATCGCCCTCTCTGCGAATCTTCCCCGCAGCGTGCCGCACCACCTCCTGCCCGGCAAACACCAGCTTCTCCGCCACCACTGCCGCCCGCGCCACAGGACACAAGAACCAACCATCAACACTCACCTCCAGCACGAGCTCGGACCATCCAAAGGTGAGAATGACATCGCCCTCCTTTCGGATCTTCCCTGCAGCATGGCGCACCACCTCCTGCCCGGCGAACACCAGCTTCTCCGCCACAAACCGGTCGATCTCCGCCACCACCGCCGCGCGCGCCGCGCCCTCCTGCACGCCCGGGTCCGCGCCCATGCGCGTGAGGCACTGCTTCAGCGCGCGCACTGCGTTGCCCATGCCCACTGAGAGAGGGCGGCACGCGATGAGGAAGGCGACGTGCGCGTTGAGGCGCGCTGTGAGGTCGCGGATGGGGGGCCGGTTGTCCGGCACGCGGTGGTCGAGGAAGAGGCGGCGCAGCGCGTGCAGCATGGCCAGGCAGCGCTCGTTGCCGCCCTGCAGGCGCTGCTCCTGCTGTAGGAACCGCATCCCCACCTGGCGGTTGGGCAAAGGAGCAGCGCATGGAGGAGGATGTTTGGTCAGGGAGGGAGCAGAGAGGTGCAAGAGGCATCCCACCCCACCGCACCCACCGTTCCCCCTTCCCAGCCACATCCCACCCCCTCGAGCGCACCTCATAGACGGCGGGGTGCACGGAGAGGGGGGAGTCCTCCTCGTCCAGCAGCCGCGCCTCCACCAGAGCAATCTGCGCCGCCCGGTCAAACTGCGGCAGGTGCCGGAACAGATCCACTCGCAGCGACGAATCCACCGCTGCCACGTCAGCCATCAGCTGCTGCCACCCCCCGCGGAGTGAGCTGGACTTGTGCTGCCCGTCCTCCCCTCCCCGCCCTCCCCCTCCCTTCCCCCCGGCCCCTCCCCCTTTCTGTGCGCCAGCCACGCTCCCACTGCTGCTCCGCCCACCCCCCTCCACGTCCCCTACCCCCGTCCCTGCAGCAGACACTGCAGCGGATTCCCCGCTTGCCCTCCTCCCTCCGCCCTGCTGCCCGCCCTCCTTCCCCTTCCCACCCTTGCCCCCTCCTCCGCCTGCACCTCCTGCGCCCTTTCCACCTGCACGGTCGTACAGGCAGAGGGAAGCGAGGGACTGGTGACAGGTCATGGCATGGGCTGGAGGGCATGGCAGGATGGGAATTAGCATGGAATGGCATGAGGTGCATGTGGGCACGTGGTCCCGCCGTGCAGCAGCAGCAGCAGCAGCAGCAGCGGCGGCGGCGGCGGCGGCGGCGGCGGCGGCGGCGGCGGCGGCGGCGGCGGCGGCGGCGGCGGCGGCGGCGGCGGCGGCGGCGGCAGCAGCAGCAGCAGCAGCAGCAGCAGCAGCAGCAGCGGCCTTGGCAGCGCGCACTATCGCTGCACGCTGCACCCAACAAGCCACTCACCTTTACCGCCACCGCCAGCAGCACCACCAGCAGCGGCGGCCTTGGCAGCGCGCTGAGCCTCCTGCAGGGCGCGCCTCTCCGCCTTTGACGTCACCTTCTTGCCGCCCGCCCTCCCGTCCATCACCGCTGCCCGGGGGGAGGGGGAGATGGGGGAAGAGGGGGAGGGACCAGGGGGAGAATGGGGAGGGGGAGAAGAGGTTGTGGGGGAGGCCGGGGGAAGAAGAACCGGAGATTCAATGCGCTTGCAGCCCCATCTCCTCTCGTCCCATACCCCCTTCCCCAACCCCATGCCATGATGCCATGCTGTTACGACGCCACAATGCCACCTCACCCTCCCCACAGCCATGCCAATGCTAGCATGCTACCCCATCCGCGCCCCCCTCAATGTCCCCCGCCCTTGCCAGCCTGGTGGCAGCACGCACTGGGCAGGGACGCGGGCACCACAGCGGAGGCGGCTTTGGCGGCGCCCCGCACGCCAAGGCTCCCCGCGCTGCGCGGACTCCCCCCCGCGCTGCTGCTGCTGTCCGCCGGCGACCTCCCCGCGGCCACTGCCCCTCCCGCCGCCCCCGCTGATCCGCCCGCCCCTCCCCCCGCGGCGGCCGCCCCCCGCCCTGGCGCGCCCGCCTGCTTTTCCCGGCTGGGTTTTGCGCCATCCGCCGCTTCCTGCTGCGCCGCCGCCGCACCCGCGCGGGCGACAGTGGCGGCGGAAACAGAGAGGATTGGCCCGCTGACGTCAGACACGGAACCGAACACCGCGCCGGACGGGGCCGCTGACGTGGCGGACGACGATAGGTAGGAATCGTCGGGCGGGAGACTTTCGGAGCACTCGCTGCCCTCCGCGATGGGCGAGGGGCGCTGATACGACGGCAGTGGCACGTTGATTGGCAGCGACGGAATCGGAGGGACTGACGGCACGAAAGGCGGCGACGGCGACGCGGACGCGAGGAATGGCAGCGGCGGCAGCCCGTCTCCGTCGGCGGGGGTTGCGGAGGGCGCGGCAGATTGGCCGGCGGGGGGTGCGGCGGAGGGCGCGAAGAAGCCGACCTGGCGCACGATGGGGTCGTTGTGCGCCGCGCGCCCCGAATGATCCATCGCTCGCTGCGCCTCCGACTCGCGTATCCTTTGGCTGCCTATGCGCCTCGCTGCTTCTGCGGCTCACTCGCCCGCTAACTGCCTCGCCGCCTCTCGCTCGCTGCGTCGCGCGTCACTAACCGTCGCGCTGCCTGCCGAAGCGGCTCGCTGGTGCTTCTGCAAAATGGCGACCGAGGGCGAGCGATTGAGGACGTGACGAGGGAACGAGCACGTTGTGAATGGGCAAATCAATGCCGTGGCTGGAGAGTGGAGGCTGGGGCCTAGAGATTTATGGTGAAGCGCCCAAGCGAAGCTAGAATCGTTTTACCTCGATAATGGATTCACCGAGATGATAAATCAGATTAACATTAGTTACCACAATGAACGTCCTGCTTATAAGTGAGCTTGAAATGGCAGCATTATTCATGTAGCCATTGGACTGGAACATTTTCTTTCCCGAAATATGGTAACAATACTATTTTGACATTCTTGCATACTGCTCGTTACCACGTATGGATGGATGCTTTCCAATCGGGAGCAGGGTCCTCGACATCAGACATTTTTGTCTGTTTGTCTAATCTATCGACTCACAAAACACAGCTATGGGGAATACCATGTGCCAACCCCACGCAATTCATTGAATGCCGAACCGAATCAGGATGCTTTAGCAGCTATTTCTGTATTTTGTGGATGGTGCGTTGCCATGTTCCGGTGCTGGGCACGAAGCGCAGCTCCCAGGTGGGCCAGTAATGCAGGTCCTGCTTCAGCGTCAGCACCCGCGGCTTGCCGTTCAGATGCACCACCTTCACCCTCACAAACGCCCCGTGCTCCAACTCCTGAGAGGCAGAGAGAGGGAAGGGGAGGGAAATTGGGAAGGGGGTTGAAAGAGGAGAGAAGGCAGCAGAGAAAGTATAGTGTTGGTGATGGAAATGGGAATCGTAGTGGACCAAGTGGTGGAAGAGAGGGGAGAGAAGAAGGGAGGAAGAGGAGGCGGGGGTGCTATTACCAGCACCTATCATGATCGCCCCTAACTGCCTGTCGGGTCTCACCTGGCTGATGGCAACCAGAGCATCGAGGTCCGGCACGGGTCGGCCGTTGATCTCCACGATCCAATGGAGGGCGTACAGCCCGTAGCGGTGCGCTGGGCTGCCATGGCACCACCTGTGAGTGTGGGTGGTGGGAGCCAGGGGGTGGGAAGGAGAGGAGGAAAATGGAGGTGAGGAAGGGATGGAGGAACACCCGACACAGTAGCAACCTCCTCTACTAATTCTCCCTCCAGTGCTCCACTTGTTGCCCAGCAACCACCTCACAGCACGCCCCCAACCCGCACGCCTGGCAACATATGCACCATGGTCCTGCGAGGGCAGGAAGCCGGTGGCGCTGACAAGGGGTTGGGGGTCCTGCACGACTCACGAGACGTATGAAAAGGCACTGCACGTCACGCCCTTAAGCCACCCACCTGGCAACATAAGCGCCATGACCCTGCGAGGGCAGGAAGCCGGTGGCTCTGACGGCAGGGTGGGGGTCCTGCACGAGGCAGCCCGCCCAGTTCACCACTCGCGTCGTGCCGAAGCCATGCCGCACGTCCGTGCCCGCCTGCACCCGCTGCTCCCTGCCCTGCCGCAATATCGTCAGGCTCAATGACGCTGGGCCCGCTTCCCCTGCTGCTGCTGCCTCCCCGGCTGTTGTTGCTGCCACCCCTGCATCCTCCTTCCCGCCCGTCTTCCCTGGCGCCTCTACTTCCCGCCCGTTCACTGCAGTTTTGTCTGCTCCTGCTGCTGTCGCACCGATCGGCTCCCTGTCCCCTGTCTCACTCACATGCCCATTCCCAGCTGCTTCTTCTCCTGCTGCTGCTGCTACTACTGCCCCAGCACCATCTCTCACCCCGCTCCCCCCATCCCCCTCCAACAGCCCAGCTGACTCACTCCCCCCCGCATCCAGCTCACAGCAGGCGGCTTCCACATCAGCGAAGCACGTGACGGGGCGGCCATTGACAGCGAGCAGCATGTCGCCCTGCTGCAGCACACCTGCCACAGCGGACCCCGCCAGGGTGCCCTTCACGCGCAGCACCTGCCGCCGCACGGGGTCAGCACGGGCCAGCATGTGCACCCATTGTTCCGACAGGCCGAAGCTCCTGGCTTTGGAGAGCAGCATGGGGGCGAGCTCGGCTTCTAGCACGCGCATGCGCGGCATGGCCCACAGCCGCCCGTTCATCAGCAGGCTGTTGTCTGTCCCTGCCGCCGCCTGCTGCTGCTGCTGCTCGCCGCCCTTGCCACCCTCCTCCTGCGCCTCTGCTCTTCTTGTCCCCTCGCCTGCTTCCCCTGCCTGGCCGTTGCTTTCAACGTGGGGCGCGGTCGAGAGAGCAGGAGTGGGAGCGGGAGCGGAGGGTGGGAGCGTGCAGAGGGGCTTGGAGGGGGAGGCGTGGATGATTTGGTGGAGGGCGGAGGAGATGAAGGAGATGGGCAGCCCGCGCACAAACTGCAGATCGTCCGTTCCACCGTCGCCGTACTTCAGCTGGGGAAGAGGAAGATGGTTTGGGAGGAGAGGAGGTCGTTCAGAGCAGGGCTTGGTCTTTTGAGAGCAGATAACGGAAGTCAGCTTACGTTTAAACAGAGGACAGTGGATGGGAGAGAGGTTTGGAAGGAGGAGGAGAGAATAGAAGACCTCGAGTTCAAATACTGATAATGGGAGGGAGAAACAAGAACGTGAGGAAGCTCAGCGCAAAGAGGGAGAGCAAGCGGGAGAGAGAATGCGATGCATTAACAGGGAGAAGAGTAAGTCGAGGAAAAAGGAGAGGAGAGAGTAGAGAAGGGAGGAGGTGGGACAGGGCAGCGGCGTACGAAGGTGGAGAAGGAGCCCCAGAGGGCTCTCACGGCGCCCGAGTCGTCCGCCAGCACGCCCGAGAAGGACTGCCCGAAGTCTGTGAGACACACAGTGCAGTGCACGGGGTGGGAGGGGTGGATGGGGTGGATGGGTGGATGGGGTGGATGGGGTGAATGGGTGGATGGGGTGGATGGGGTGAATGGGGTGGATGGGGTGGATGGGGCGCACGGTGTGAACAGGGTGGATGGGGTGAGGTGCGCAGGGCACCTGCAGGGTGGAGTGGAGAGTGCTTGCTCGTGGAGAGTGCACAAGCAGTGCACCATGGCCCTGCGTGTGGCAGCACAAGTGCATGTGAAAGAGCCTGTGAAGAGGTCAATGGCTGCACTGCACTCACCTGTGTCAATCTCCACCCCACTGCACCGCACTGCAAGCACTGGTGTATACTGCCACCCCATTGCACCGCACTGCACTCACCAGTGTCAATCTCAACAACGTCCATGTTAATCGCACGGTAGCGAGGGCAGTCAGCAGCGCCCACAGTGAGCGTGGCGGTGGGATTCGTGACCACGGACTGCCGGGACGTCACTGCCTGGCTGCGGCTGAGCCCCACCAGGTGCACTCGGTCGCCCCGCCGCAGCGCAGGGGAGGGCTTGAGCGTGGCGGGCGTCACGGCCGCCGCCGCTGCTGCTCCCAGGGCTGATGGGTCATAGGCCACAAAGGCAAAGTTGTGCACCGGGTGCAGGAACACCACCTGGGAGCGGAGGGGAGGGGGGATAGAAGTGAGTTGAAGCGGTGCCGGTTTGCGTGTGGTAAGTCGAAGCGAGAGAGGAGTGGCGAAAGTTGGGAAGCTGTCCCACACAGAAATGGGGAGGGTTGAGACACATAGACTATTATACACGAATAGAGCGGGCGCCAGGGAGTGAGAGAAGGTGGGCACTGACCTCTCCGGGGACCTCAACAGGGTAGGCGGAGAAGGAGAGCATGATGTCCGAGACAGAGACAGCGACTGTGTTGCGGTCCACCACGATGAGCCCCAGCTGCGGCGTATGGTGCACCACCAGCGCCGTGCCGAAGAAATGCTGCGCGTGCACCCCGTCCACCATCACTGATGATGGCACGTGCACCTGCAAGAGGGGGGGAGGGACAAGGATAAGTGAGGAAGAAATTAGGTTGGGGGGGATGGCGAGAGGAGGGGATGGGGAGGGAAGAGATGATTGTGGAGGGAAGAGATGATTGGGAAGGACGGGAGCTACACAGCAGAGGCAGGAACGGATAAGAGGGGGAACAAGATGTGGCAAGGCGAGGGTGCTGCACCCACCCACCTCCATCATCACAAATGCGGGCTCCAATGCACTCTCCACCAATGAGCTCGTGCCAGCTGGCTTGGCTGATGCCTCTGATCCATCGGCAGCAGCAGCAGCAGCAGCAGCAGCAGCAGCAGCAGCAGCAGCAGCAGGCTCGCTCCCATCCCCCACCACTGTCTCTTCTGCCTTACGCTTCTTGCTCCCTTCCCCTTCGCCCTCCTCCTCCCCTCTCGCCCGCTTCTCCCCCCTCTGCTGCTCTTCTACCTTCGCACCTCCTTTTTCCAAGCCTCCCTCCTCCTTCTTTCCTTCACCATCACCATCTGCAGCAGCACCATCAGCAGCCGCAGCACCGTCAGCAGCACCATCGGTAGCATTAGCAGCACCAGCAGCGGCATCGGCAGCAGTAGGCGGAGGGGGAAGCGCGGACGCAATGCGCCAGAGCCCCGTGGAGTCATCCCTGCAGTACATCTGCGGCGGCGCGTACCACGCATGCCGGTCCACCAGCAGCAGCACCGACTTGGGCCGGTGCCTCTCCCCATGCGTCACATACTCTATCGGCACCCTTGCCCCCGCCTCCAGCCGTGCAAACACCCTTAAAAACGTCTCCAAGTCCGGCACGTCTTGATCCGCGAGCTTCTGAATGATGGCGAAGCGGGGCACGCCGGCGCGTGAGAGCATGTAGCCGGGCTCAGCGACGTAGACGAGGCCACAGGGGAAGCGGAAGTTGCGCGCCTGCTGGTAGGAGAGCGCGTGCAGCACGCCCCCTGAGAGCTCGAGGAAGCGGTCGGGCGTGACAGCGTGCAGGTCGTGCACTGTGAGGGCGAGGGAGAGGGGTGCGCCGCCCCGCTCCACGTCGAGCGTGACGGTGCCGCCCACAGCGTCGTCTAGAATGGCTTCCAGTGCCAAGAACTGCGTCAGCACCTGCATTAGGGCGTGCAGGGGTGGGGGGAATGGAGGGGAGGGCCGGAGGTGGGGAGGGGGGAAAGGGTGAGGGGTGATGGGAGGGGGGGCGAGAGGGATAATGCACAGCTAGCCGGGGGCACGGCGCCTTAGCAAAGGAAGCAAGAGAAGCGAGAGGGAGCTGAATTCACCTTGCCGTTGATGCGCACGAGGATGTCGTCGGGCTCCCGCCTTCTCTCCAGTCTACCAAAGGCAACCCATCCTGGCCGCGAGCTCCACCTGCGACTCTCTCTCCCCTTGCTGCTGCCAGCCACTCACCTTGCCGTTGACGCGCACGAGAATGTCCCCCGGCTCCAGCCTGCCTTCAGCGGGGCCGCCCGGCACGAGCGAGTCCACCACCAGCAGCCCCGTCTCCGCCGCCCCCGCCTCGCGCCTCACCTCCGCTTCCGTCTCTCGCCTTAGCCCCAGCCGCCGCGTCTCGTCAAACCCCTTGTGGATCAACGTCACCTGGTGTCGTGGTGGGAAAAGGGGAGGGAGGGGAGGGTAGGGCAGGAGGGCAGAGCGCGCAGGGGAGAGGGGAAATTGAGTCGCAGGTGGAGCGAGGGGCCACGATTGTAAGAAATGTTCCAGTGCTGTTAAGACCTCTCTGAACAAGCCCCAAACACACGCAGCAGCAAGACCCGCTCTCTCCCCTCCTTTCTCCAGGTCCGTGGCCCCTGAACCATCCTTCCCCCCTGCTGCGCGCCCACCCACCTGCAGGGTGCCGCGGGTGACGACGGGCGGGCGCCACTTGTGCACGACGAACCCGCCGCCCTCCTTCTCCGCGAAGCACGCCTGGATGGCGCCCAGCGCGCGCACCACGCGGTCCAGCGGAAGGAAGAACGCGCTTGCGCTCGACGACTTGCTGCCCGCGTTCAGCGCCACGGCGCACCCGCGCGAGTCGATCACGGGCGACCCGCTCGACCCGCCCTTGGTGCCCGACGCGGCTTGCAAATAAAACGTATTAAAATCATTATACCCGTCCTTTTTGTACACGGGCGCGTCGCGATCCAGCCGCGCGATGGTCCCGGCGAGAATAGAGACCTTCTCGCCGCTGTCGTTGCCCACGACGCGGATCTCGAGGCCCACGGCGGCGGCTTCGGGCGCGAGCGGGATGTCTTGGTAGTCGAGGAATTGCACGGCGGCGGGGTCGAAGTGGAAGAAGCCGAAGTCGTGCACGGGATCGCGGTAGATCGGATGTACCGGCACCTCCTCGCGGTTCAGAAACATCGCCTCCGCCACCACCGGGCCTGGCGGACGCGCGCGGGGGGGGGAAATGCGCGGAAGAGCGGGGGGATGCGTGCGGGACGGCGGAACGGGCCGTTTGAGAGGCGGGACGCGCGGATCTCAAGGGAGGGGGCATGCGGGAGCGAGAGAACGATGCGGGTGGTGAGGCGACAGCTGGCAGGGAGCAGGATGCAAGGCGGAAAGGGAGGCGCGCGGACCGGGTTTGACGACATGGCGGTTGGTGAGGATGATGCCGCGGCGGCGGTCGACGATGAAGCCGGTGGCGTAGCTGGAGTTGGCGGACTCCGTGTCGAACGCGCGCACCACCGTCACGCGCAGCACCACCACCGCCGGCACCACGCGCGCCAACGCGCGCCGCCAGTCGTCCGACGACGCTGCGGGGAGGAGCGGGGATAGTAGGCGTGGGAGTAAGGGGGTTGGTTGGCGAATGAGGCACCGTGTAATGAAATTGGCGAGAATTCGGCAGTAGAAACGACTCATTAAACTACCGACGGTGTGGGGAAATGCCGTAATCAGGCCAGCAGTGCTCAGTTCCGCGGACACGCTAAGAGAGAGGTCGAATCTACGAAATAATGCGTTGAGAGATATCGAGATAACAGAGAGATCTTGCTTACAGCGAGATCGCGCTAACAGCTAGATCGCGCAAACGGGGAAAGCGCGTCGTCGCGAATTCCAAGAGAGATACCTGAATGTCCTTCCACGACGGGGTCGATCTCCATCCGGACAGCGCTACGCTGCTAGCCGGTGAAACGATGAATAGGTCTCTATCGCGCGATCTGCGAGCATGTGCAGAAAAACGAAACACGCTTTAACGCCTAACGGTGGTCGCAGGTGCTGTCGCGAGGAGATGGCGTGGCGATCACCAGAAGTTCCGAAAATAGATGATCGCTTCGTGACTGGCGAAGTGAAGCTGATGCAGAAGTCTGGGCAAGGCGTGGAGTGAAGTGGAATTTAGGTGGGCAATGGGCATTGTGGCGAGAATAGGGGGTGGAGTGCAGAATCGAAGTTCCCAAGGTGGCATTCGCGCGGATGGTCACACAACAAAGAGAACCTCGATAAAACAGTACAGTTCAGCGGCAGTGTGAATGATGAATACTATATTATCTGTAACCCTTTTCTTACCAGTACTTCTTCAGATCAGAATGCTTTTGCAAGCCGAGCTTGCCACCTTCCATCAAGAAATGGAAATCAGTTCTAAGACTTGCCGCGCAGCGACCTAGACTCTTCTGCCCCCCCAGTAAAGCCGCCCAATGGCTTACTGTAATGCTTCTCGATGAGGCAAGGGGTGAGGATGCTCACTCGCGCAACACCTCCTCTCGAGACAGCACCATCCCCTGGCAAGAATGTTGCTGTGTCCTTGGGCCTCGGCGCAGGAGAAAGAACCACAGCACAGAAAAGAGCAGAGAGGAGAGTGCATCAGGAGCAGCGGCGGAAATTGACTTGGATTAAACAGAAATTGATTCTAAGACTTGCCGCACGGCGACCTAGACACTTCTGCCCCCCCAATAGACCTGCCCGGTGACTTACTGTACTGCTGTGGCAAGGCATGTGGTGAGAATGCTCACTCCCACAGCACCTCACTGAGAAGCACCATTTCTTGGCATGACTGCTGCTGTGCCCTTGGTCCTCAGCGAAGCAGGCACCACCACCACAGCAGCAAAGACAACACAGAAACGAGCGCAGAGGAGAGAAACGAGCATCAGAAGCAGCAGAGGAAACATACTCAAAAGAAGCTAAAAACAATTCTAAGACTTGCCGCGCGGTGAATGGGGCAGGGTGATAGAAAGCGAGGGAATGGGGCGGGGTGATGGAAAGCGAAAGAATGGGGCGGGGTGATGGAAGGAGGGAGAATGGGGCGGGGTGATGGAATGCGGGAGAATTGGGCGGGGTGATGGAAAGCGGGAGAATGGGGCGGGGTGATGGAAAGCGGGAGAATGGGGCGAGGTGATGGAAAGCGGGAGAATGGCGCGGGGTGATGTAAAGCGGGAGAATGGGGCGGGGTGATGGAAAGCGGGAGAATGGCGCGGGGTGATGGAAAGCGGGAGAATGGCGCGGGGTGATGGAAAGCGGGAGAATGGGGCGGGGTGATGGAAAGCGGGAGAATGGGGCGGGGTGTTGGAAAACGGGAGAATGGGGCGGGGTGATGGAAAGCGGGAGAATGGGGCGGGGTGATGGAAAGCGTGAGAATGGGGCGGGGTGATGGAAAGCGGGAGAATGGGGCGGGGTGATGGAAAGCGGAAGAATGGGGCGGGGTGATGGAAAGCGGGAGAATGGGGCGGGGTGATGGAAGGAGGGAGAATGGGGCGGGGTGATGGAAAGCGGGAGAATGGGGCGGGGTGATGGAAAGCGGGAGAATGGGGCGGGGTGATGGAAAGCGGGAGAATGGGGCGGGGTGATGAAAAGCGGGAGAATGGGGCGGGGTGATGGAAAGCGGGAGAATGGGGCGGGGTGATGGAAAGCGGGAGAATGGGGCGGGGTGATGAAAAGCGGGAGAATGGGGCGGGGTGATGGAAGGAGGGAGAATGGGGCGGGGTGATGGAAGGAGGGAGAATAGAGCGGGGTGATGGAAAGCGGGAGAATGGGGCGAGGTGATGGAAAGCGGGAGAATGGGCGGGGTGATGGAAAGCGGGAGAATGGGGCGGGGTTATGGAATGCGGGAGAATGGGGCGGGGTGATGGAAGGAGGGAGAATGGGGCGGGGTGATGGAAGGAGGGATTATGGGGCGGGGTGATGGAAAGCGGGAGAATGGGGCGGGGTGATGGAAAGCGGGAGAATGGGGCGGGGTGATGGAAAGCGGGATAATAGGGCGGGGTGATGGAAAGCGGGAGAATGGGGCAGGGTGATGGAAAGCGGGAGAATGAGGCAGGGTGATGGAAAGCGGGAGAATGGGGCGGGGTGATGGAAAGCGGGAGAATGGCGCGGGGTGATGGAAAGCGGGAGAATGGGGCGGGGTGATGGAAAGCGGGAGAATGGGGCGGGGTGTTGGAAAACGGGAGAATGGGGCGGGGTAATGGAAAGCGGGAGAATGGGGCGGGGTGATGGAAAGCGTGAGAATGGGGCGGGGTGATGGAAAGCGGGAGAATGGGGCGGGGTGATGGAAAGCGGAAGTTTGGGGCGGGGTGATGGAAAGCGGGAGAATGGGGCGGGGTGATGGAAGGAGGGAGAATGGGGCGGGGTGATGGAAAGCGGGAGAATGGGGCGGGGTGATGGAAAGCGGGAGAATGGGGCGAGGTGATGGAAAGCGGGAGAATGGGGCGGGGTGATGAAAAGCGGGAGAATGGGGCGGGGTGATGGAAAGCGGGAGAATGGGGCGGGGTGATGGAAAGCGGGAGAATGGGGCGGGGTGATGAAAAGCGGGAGAATGGGGCGGGGTGATGGAAGGAGGGAGAATGGGGCGGGGTGATGGAAGGAGGGATTATGGGGCGGGGTGATGGAAAGCGGGAGAATGGGGCGGGGTGATGGAAAGCGGGAGAATGGGGCAGGGTGATGGAAAGCGGGAGAATAGGGCGGTGTGATGGAAAGCGGGAGAATGGGGCAGGGTGATGGAAAGCGGGAGAATTAGGCGGGGTGATGGAAAGCGGGAGAATGGGGCGGGGTGATGGAAAGCGGGAGAATGGGGCGGGGTGATGGAAAGCGGGAGAATGGGGCGGGGTGATGGAAAGCGGGAGAATGGGGCGGGGTGATGGAAAGCGGGAGAATGGGGCGGGGTGATGGAAAGCGGGAGAATGGGGCGGGGTGATGGAAAGCGGGAGAATGGGGCGGGGTGATGGAAAGCGGGGAGAACGGGGCGGGGTGATGGAAAGCGGGAGAATGGGGCGCGGTGATGGAAAGAGAGAGAATGGGGCGGGGTGATGGAAAGTGGGAGAATGGGGCAGGGTGATCGAAAGCGGGAGAATGGGGCGGGGTGATGGAAAGAGGGAGAATGGGGCGGGGTGATGGAAAGCGGGAGAATGGGGCGGGGTGATGGAAAGCGGGAGAATGGGGCGGGGTGATGGAAAGCGGGAGAATGGGGGGAGAATGGGGCGGGGTGATGGAAGGAGGGAGAATGGGGCGGGGTGATGGAAGGAGGGAGAATGGGGCGGGGTGATGGAAAGCAGGAGAATGGGGCGGGTGATGGAAAGCGGGAGAATGGAGCGGGGTGATGGAAAGCGGGAGAATGGGGCGGGGTGATGGAAAGCGGGAGAATGATGCGGGGTGATGGAAAGCGGGAGAATGGGGCGGGGTGATGGAAAGCGGGAGAATGGGGCGGGGTGATGGAAAGCGGGAGAATGGGGCGGGGTGATGGAAAGCGGGAGAATGGGACGGGGTGATGGAAAGCGGGAGAATGGGGCGGGGTGATGGAAAGCGGGAGAATGGGGCGGGGTGATGGAAAGCAGGAGAATGGGGCATGGTGATGGAAGGAGGGAGAATGGGGCGGGGTGATGGAAAGCGGGAGAATGGGGCGGGGTGATGGAAAGCGGGAGAATGGGGCGGGGTGATGGAAAGCGGGAGAATGGGGAGGGGTGATGGAAAGCGGGAGATTGGGGCTGGGTGATGGAAAGCGGGAGAATGGGGCGGGGTGATGGAAAGCGGGAGAATGGGGCGGGGTGATGGAAAGCGGGAGAATAGGGCGGGGTGATGGAAGGAGGGAGAATGGGGCGGGGTGATGGAAAGCGGGAGAATGGGGCGGGGTGATGGAAAGCGGGACAATGGGGCGGGGTGATGGAAAGCGGGAGAATGGGGCGGGGTGAAGGAAAGCGGGAGAATGGGCCGGGGTGATGGAAAGCGGGAGAATGGGGCGGGGTGATGGAAAGCGGGAGAATGGGGCGGGGTGATAGAAAGCGGGAGAATGGGGCGGGGTGATCGAAAGCGGGAGAATGGGGCGGGGTGATGGAAAGAGGGAGAATGGGACGGGGTGATGGAAAGCGGGAGAATGGGGCGGGGTGATGGAAAGCGGGAGAATGGGGCAGGGTGATGGAAGGAGGGAGAATGGGGCGGGGTGATGGAAAGCGGGAGAATGGGGCGGGGTGATGGAAAGCGGGAGAATGGGGCGGGGTGATGGAAAGCGGGAGATTGGGGCGGGGTGATGGAAAGCGGGAGAATGGGGCGGGGTGATGGAAAGCGGGAGAATGGGGCGGGGTGATGGAAAGCGGGAGAATGGGGCGGGGTGATGGAAAGCGGGAGAATGGGGCGGGGTGATGGAAAGCGGGAGAATGGGGCGGGGTGATGGAAAGAGGGCGAATGGGGCGGGGTGATGGAAAGCGGGAGAATGGGGCGGGGTGATGGAAAGCGGGAGAATGGGGCGGGGTGATGGAAAGCGGGAGAATGGGGCGGGGTGATGGAAAGCGGGAGAATGGGGCGGGGTGATGGAAAGCGGGAGAATGGGGCGGGGTGA